CAAGGCTTGCTTAAATTCCTCCCAAGATATGCCAGGTTTGCGCGCCTTTAACCACGTCACCCAATAGAGGGCAGCCCCTTCCATAGAAACCCTAGACGCTGCAACTTGTCTGTCTAGTGGGGTCCTGTTGAGCTCGAACTGCTGCTCCACTCTCGCCAACCACCCAATTGGGTCTTCGCCATCGAACGAGGGAAGTAGCATTGTGGCTGCGGTGCGCAGTCCGCCATCATCGGAGAAGACAGATGCGACGTGGCCGGAGGAATCGCTCTCAACGGTCGCGATGGGAGATTTCTGCGGCGGCACCATGGCCTTCGCGATTGCTGCAAGAGAGGCTGCGATTTCCGCAAGTTGGGCGGCCTGCTCTTCTAGTTTCTGACCTTGTGTGTCAAGTTTCTGTCCCTGCAGATCAAGTTTCTGTCCTTGCGTGTCAAGTTTTTGATTGATTAGGGCCTGTTCAGCCTCCAATTCTGATAAACGTTCGTTGGTTGATCTCGTCATTCCGACGGGACGGGATCTGGCAGGTCGGACCAATTGATATGTAACAGAAAAATAGAAATCAACGGGGTGAACCGTTGCCCAGATAATCAACGATAAAAATACTGTTGCCCAAAGCCAAAAGGCTAAACTCTAACTTTATTCCAAGATAATAAGAATGAACCCTGGCGAGGGGTATAAATAGCCTTCTACAAGAAACTCTAATCAAGCCCATATTAATTAAACCCTAATTAAGCCCAAATTAACTCAACTAACTACTCTATTAATAATAGGCCCAAACTAAAACATAACATTAACTTAATAATAATAATTAAACTATAACGACAGCCCTAACTCGGCCCACGGAAGTGGGCCCAAGCCCGGTCCCACCACATGCTCTTCCCGCTCTCTATCACCCTCATTCCACCCAAAGCCCAAACCCAATAAATCCACCACGCCACAGCCAGAAAAGCATCCATTGGTGCATACCACTTCATCACACGGCCAACCACAACATTTGGCCCAATTATTAATGAAGTGGTTGAAAAGGTAAAAGTTGTGGTTGAGATTTGAGTATAATAAAGTGAAATGTTGTGGACCACATATTTCTTTCCAAAAAAGGAAATGTGACACTTATTTTGGGACAACCCAAAATGAAAGTGGGACAGGTAAAATGGGACGGAGGATTATTTTTGGAAAAACTCCAATTTAAAGTGGCTTTAGTGGTAGATTACCATGAGGATTGAAATGAGATTCGTAGGCAGCTCTCTTATGATTTAAAGTAGGCTCAGCAGTGCATGACTAAAGTTGCACATGCCAAATTCATGGCTTGGAATTTCTAGGTGAAAAAGTCCTCCTTAAGCTACATCTACACAAGCAGACCACAGTTCATAAACGAATCAACCAAAAACTAGCCCCAAGATATTTTGGTCCTTTTGTTATCATCCACAAATTAAGTGCATTTGCTTACAAGCTTGCACTTCCTCCATCGGCTAAAGTTCACCATGTTTTTCATGTCTCTGCACTAAAACAAGTTACGAGAGAACATCCAGTTATAGTAGAGCTTCCCGAGGCGCCTTGCCCCTCTCGAAAAAACTGCCTCGATACCCGAACTAGCCTTTCTAAACCTTTGTATTAATCCAGTTCTTCTATCATTTTTAACAGTTAAATTGACAGAATGCTTAAGATATTGTCATATAATTGCCACATGTGTATACCAATTTATGCTTAAGACATTGTGTTAAGACTTGGGGTTCCATCCTAAAAGGTCAACTTGATAGGAGTAGTAATTCATGTCTTAATATAGCACTTTGTTGATTCAATCTTTTCCGGTATGGGATTCTAACACCCCTCCTCACGACCAGACACTTTGTCTGGATCATGCCGTCAGTCATTTTTTCGTCGGTTCGTCATTGTCATTTTTTTAATCGTGTAATCATTTTTCATAAGGGGGCCCACATCACGGTTATGGATCGGTTTGGCTCTGATACCATGTTAAGACTTGGGTTCCATCCTAAAAGTTCAACCTGATAAGATGAGTAACCAATGTCTTAATATAGCACTTTGTTGATTCAAACTTTTCCGGTGTGGGATTCTAACACATCGACTACTTAAAAAAGATCCACTTTAAGAAAAAGACCAAAGAATTTTTTATAGCGGAAGTTAAAGAAGCTCTGAGGAAGATGGGACGGAAAAGAGCAATGGGGCCTGATGGCATACCGATCGAGGCTTGGAGAAGTTTGGGAGAGAGAGGCGTCGAGTGGTTAACAAGTTTCTTCAACATGATTTGGAGAAACAACAAGATGCCAACGAGTTGGAGGAAGAGTACTCTTATCCCTTTATTTAAGAATAAAGGTGATGTACAAGAATGTGCCAATTATCGAGGGATTAAGCTTATGAGTCACACCATGAAACTTTGGGAGCGAGTGATTGAGCAAAGACTTCGAAGGACTGTGAAGATTTCAGAGAATCAATTCGGTTTTATGCCTGGTCGCTCAACAACTGAGGCTATTCACCTTCTTCGTAAACTTATGGAGAAGTATAGAGATGCTCATAAGGATCTGCATTTGGTGTTCATTGACTTAGAAAAGGCATATGATAGGGTACCTCGAGAAGTTCTTTGGTGGGCCTTAACTAGGAAAGACATATCACGCAAGTATATCAGCATCATCATGGATATGTATGAGGATTGTACTACAAGTGTTCGTACTAGTGTAGGGAGGACTGAAGAGTTCCCTATTACTATCGGAGTGCACCAAGGATCGGCCTTGAGTCCTTTCTTATTTGCCATAGTCATGGATGAACTTACGAAGTCAATTCAAGACGATATACCGTGGTGCATGATGTTTGCCGACGATATTGTATTGATTGATGAGACGCAATCAGGTCTTAAAGCAAAGTTGGAAGTATGGCGACAAACATTGGAGAATAAGGGTTTCAAACTAAGTCGGAGCAAGACAGAGTACATGGAGTGCAAGTTTGGTGGAGGTAGAAGTAGTGGTAATAGCGGAATTACTCTGGATGGTGAGGAGATACCAGTCAGCGATATGTTCCGTTACTTGGGCTCCATAATTCAGAAGGACGGTGAGTTAGATGGAGATGTATCCCATAGAATCAGAACAGGGTGGATGAAGTGGAAGAGTGCGTCAGGATTTCTGTGCGACCGAGGTATGCCGACTAGACTGAAGGGTAAATTTTATAGGACAGCAATTAAGCCTGCATTACTGTATGGCGTAGAGTGTTGGGCGGTGAAACAATGTCACATTCAAAAGATGAGTGTGGCAGAGATGCGCATGCTGCGTTGGATGTGTGGGCATACTAGGAAGGACCGCGTGAGGAATGAGACAATCAGACAAAGGGTGGGAGTAGCACCTATTGAAGACAAGATGCGGGAGTCGCGCCTACGGTGGTTTGGTCATGTGCGTAGAAGACCGAGTGATGCACCTGTTAGGCGAGTTGAGATGTGTGGAGAAGAGGCAGGGAAGAGAGGGAGAGGAAGACCCAAACAGACGTGGGTTAGGGGAGTTCGAAGTGATATGCTTCTTCTGGGGTTGGATGAGGGCATGACTTTGGAGAGAACTAAGTGGAGGGCGGGTATTCACGTGAAGGAGTGATCTTGATAATCTTTTTCCCTCATCTTTTTTTCCCTAGTTTTTTTTATCCTTGTATATATATGCATTATTTGCAGCCTTTTTATTTTATCATTTTTATATATAGTCATCTTTTTTATATTATCTTTTCATAATAGCTTATCTTTTTATCTTTATTCCTTCTTTTCCTTTTGGTTGTGATATCATGTATCGATTCATGTTAGCCGACCCCAATATCTTTTGGGACTAAGGCTTGGATGTTGTTGTTGTTGTTGGAAGCAACTCCACCTGCTATGCATTTTCTTATAAACACTTCATCTAATAATAATAATAATAACAATAATAATAATAATAATAACAATTATAATAATCTTTGTTTTCTTATTTAATTTTGTTTGCGCGTCTCCATATAATTAAGTTGTTTAATCCAAATAACTAAAGCTCAACCACATGTGAAACCAAAATACTTGCTTTAGAATGGATGGAGACTAATTTACTTAAACTTTTTGAAAAGAAACTCATCTACAAAACAACCCCAACATATTAAATGTTAGTAAGATCATTGTTTCTAGACTCTGTATGGCTCTTTTTTCACCAAGAAACTTAACTTGCTTTTAAGCAATTTGCCCTAATTGTAAATTAAGTTAATGATTGGTCTTATACATTTTTTAAACACTGAATTACTTTGCAAATGAGTTTCTCTACAAAAGACTTTGATCTCTTTCTTGCATTTTTTAAACATGATTGATGAATTAAATATATGGTGCTTGCTATGTGGTTGTTCGCATGGCAATATGTTTCATATTTCACCTACCGTCAATGTAACAACAAAAACTGACATAAAGACTAGATTGATATGGGCTAAATAGAATAAGAATTTAAATGATATATTTATTAGTTTGAGGACCAAAATGATATGGTATGATAGTTTAGGAGCACTTACACTTTTTACCCTGTAATAAACTTACAATAGTTACTTACTTAGGTAGAGATTGTTTTTTGTTGGAGGCTGCCTTCTGAGTATACCTTGTCCTTGTCATCCTTTATCATTTCAAGAATCAAGAATAAATATCCGTTATGGACTTATGGGGGTGTTATCGGGGTTTATCATCGTACAGACTTTATTATTGAAGCATTAACCTACCAATTTCAAAGGTAAAAAAATCCAGTTCTCAGGCTATATCAATATCACTTTCTTCGTGTCCATATACAACTGAATAAGTCCCAAGTATTGTATCAAGAACTTAAATCCTTGAATTATTTATAATTGGACCCTCCATCTACATGGTGCCATGGAGTAATGACCAATTGGGGATTTCCGGTAACAAATATAAATACCAAGGACACACAAACGCAGTGACAGTGTAACACAGATGTACAAAATCACACATGAATTGGGACTGGGTGTGCCGAATATTACTTGTCTGCTGAATATACCTTCAATGAAGACAGACAATTGGTTCAGGAAGGCATTGATCTGATCTTTGTAGAAATAACTCGCAGTCCCGAACCCACCAACCATACCCACAAGTAGAAGACCAGCCAAAATGGCACCTTTAACGGCAGTGTCCCCATCCAAGCTCTTACCATCACTACTATCAGTAATATTATCCTCTCCTTTTGGTCCGAAATTTAAAAGCGTCCTGAACTTCTCGGGGGCGGTGGAGGGAGCCTTGGAAAAGGTCTCCTGCTTCTTGGTTTCCTTGAGAGACGAACACGGTTTCAATAACTGGAACTTCCCACACTTGAAGCTACACAGAAACGCACAAAAAGAAGTTGGGTGTAAAGATTGGAACTTTGGGTTATGTAGAAGATGAGTGATAGGATACGAAAGGGTTGGGCATAGGGACATGGATCTACTCAAACAGATGGTGGGCATTGCTAGTTGCTAGTAATGAAAGGAGACAGTGTTGCTAGTTTGGTTAGTCTTTTTTTTTTTTGCAACATGGTTAGTCGTTTTTAAAAAGGGAAGAGGTGCAAGTGCAATCTAAAAAATGCATTGCCATTTGAGGAGATTCTTGTTGAAATTTTTTTAGTTTAATCATACCAAATTTTAGTTAAAAATTCAACCGGAAAGGCAGTCAAATGATTTTCTAAAATATAATTGTTGTTTAATTGTGCAATTATTTTCAAACATTTATTTGACTGCCAATATATATATATATATATATATATATATATATATATATATATATATATATATATATATATATATAAACGCAGTCAACTTCAAAAATTGATTTGACTATCTTCCCGATCAAATTTTGAGCTAAATTTTTTTGTCGATAAACTAGACTTGATATGAACATGCTTAAACAAATTTATCAAAAAAAAAACCACCGGGAACCACTCCAAATGGCGTTGTTCAGACAACGTTCGGACAGAGAAGTGCTGGACGTGATCATTTCTCTCTCTATATATATAATGTGAATTTGATATTAAACTATTATATATATGTTCGAATACAAAGCACTCCTCATGTGAAAATGAGAAGTAATCTTAGCCATTAAAATGAGAAAATGAGTGGATCAAATCATTTTTTGAGTGAATCTTTTATGCCGGAAGTGTAAATATTAGAAACATTTTTGAGAAATAATGTGATAAATGTTCACGACTGTGGAAGAAAATAAAATAACAAGTATAGAAATCATTTTGTGATATTTTTTAAGGAAGTAAATGTGCAGACTTAGGTTGTTTTTACTTGGATTGTAATTCGTCCCAAACTAGACCAGATCAGACCAAAACAGACCAGACCAGACAAGACTAAAACAGACCAGACCATATTTTATTGTTATTATTATTATTATTAGGGGTGTGCACCGGTTCAAAACCGAACCGGACCGTACCGAACCGGACCGGATATCATTCCGGTTCGATCTGGTACCGGTTTTTCCGGTCCGGTTTTCCGGTTAAAACTGGATAGTGCACACCCCTAATTATTATTATTATTATTATTATTATTATTATTATTATTATTAGGATGTTTTTACTTGGACTGTAATTTGCTGGTCTGGTCTGGTCTTATCTGTTTTGGTCTGGTCTGGTCTGTTTTGGTCTTGTCTGGTCTGGTGTGGGACGAATTACAGTCCAAGTAAAAACAATCTTATTGTTGTTGTTATTGTTATTGTTATTGTTGTTATTATTATTATTGTTATTGTTATTGTTATTATTATTTGTAATTATAAATGAATAAAATAAAATTATTTATGGATTATAAGATATATAAAAAATAAAATCTTTATGCAAAAAATATAAAAATAAAATTCCAGACCAGACCAGACCAGACCAAAACAGACCAGACCAGATCAGACCAAAATAGACCAGACCAGACCAGCAAATTACAGTCCAAGTAAAAACATCCTTACATATCGCATATGCACTTTTACTATTGCACATTTAGGTTTCTCGTTATTTTTTATCTATTCCATCCATTTTAAAGTGATCTAGGGCTTAGATGACTTCTCACTTTTCATAGAAATACCTCTTTGTATTAGAACTCACCTCTATATCTACACGAAGTATATAGTTTTAAGCTGAAATGGATGGAAGAGCTCAAATTTTAAGTTGAAAACGCAGTGTCATTTTGATAATTATGAAAGAACTTTTAGTGAATTAAAAATGTTGTGATAAATGTGTATCAAAATAGGCAAAAGTGCACATGCAGAGCACAAGCGTGCAACACAATACAAAATAAAAAGCGCACAAGTTATAAAAAATTGGCATTTTTTTTTGACACGCATGAGTGCACTTTTAACCATTAACTATTCACTTTGTAGTATAAACATTTGCACATTTTTTTAAACCGTCTCTTGTGATTAAAGATCATCTAATCCCTCTATTCTCAAGTGGTCTGTTAGAATATTTTATGGTGTCCAATCTAATTAAATATCTTTGTATTTGTATAGTTATTAGTTAAACGTGTAATATGGGTCAATATATCAGCCCACTAGCTTATTTGTAATCCATAAGTTAGGAGAAGTTGGCTAACTTATGGAAACCCTAAGAATTCTGAGGCTTCGAGAGTTAGAGGCGAGATAGAGAGGGTTTGCCGTTGCTCTCCTTCTTGAGGAAGGGCAGCGGCCAGTTTACGGTATACCAGATTTGGTTTTAATCTTCTCGATATCTTTCCATCTACTTCTTCTTCATTGCTTATGATTGTTAGATTGTTAGATAACAAGATCCAACATGGTCAAATGCCAATATGTGTTCTCACTTTTCGTGGGAATACTACTTTTAATTTTATTTGAACCCATCCCTATGTATATGTATGTATATATAATTCGAAAGGGGAAAATGGTCAAATAGGTTTTCATGCTACAACAAAATGTCATGAATTGAGTCCATCTACCATGAAATCACTCAATCAAACCCCTCAAACCATAAAAAACATTCAATCCCACTTTTCAACAGATTAAGTATGGGTTATGTTGGTGGCAGTTGATGTGGCCGCTCATATGGCATTTTTTCAATGCTTTAGCAAACGACCATATCATAGAACACGTTGAATCCTGTAATTTATTGAATTCCTTAAATTGGAGGGAAAACGCAATCCTCATTCCTCGTTCTCTAGCCACATTTAAGTATACATGCGTGTCATTGCCGGATTTACTATGGAAGGATTTACGCCATGAAGGCCCTAGAGCTTATGTCACTCTCGTTCTCAATGAGGGCCCTAGACTCCCTTCATAGGTAGTTGTGTACCCTTAGAGAAGTTGAGCATGGAGTGAGAAGCACTTTTAAGCGGTTGGAAGAAGAATGGGGGGGGGGGGGGGGGGGGAGGGGGAGAAAAAAGAAAAAATGGAAAAATCTTAAAACCAGTACGCTGGTCATCATGTATACATAGTAAGTCAGTGAGTGTTCTTTAGTGGTTAAATGGTTTAATTGAGCGTCTTTTAAAAATTCAACTGTTTAATTAAGTAATCATAGAGTATCATTGTATGAGGACTTATTAACCTCTGGATATAGTATAAAAGTTTATTTGACAATTTATTCAGATAGAAATTTCAAAAATAAAAAAAAATCAATTTTTTTGGAGAAATAGTTAAAGTGGCCCTTAATCTCCACCTTTCAATTACCTTTCAAATATTAAATCATAGATACAATAAGGTGCATTTTGTAATTATCTTAATACTAATTACAAAAATACCCGTAACTTTACAATAATTATAAAAAAGATAACATACATATATGTTAAATAAAGATTATATATATACTAGTATTAAATAATGATTGAATAAAATGAAGATTAAAGCCCATTTGGAAATACAAAAATTGGACGAATCTACTGAAATTGATGACTTTTTGTTTGAAGTGATTGAATCGACTCAAATCTGAATTATGAAAAAATATATTTAAAAAGCATTTTATTAATGCAATAAAGAAAATTATATGAAAAATAGCTAAATCATTCTCTACATTACTTTATCCAGTTTAGTTAGAAAAGAGTTTAATGCACCAAACCCACCGTGAAATATAAATTCAGCACATTAGCTTCAGTGATTTAAAAAATGCGTCAAAAACCTCCTGTGTTTCAATTGTTTATGCGCAAACCCCCCTATAACAACAAATTTACAATTTTGAAATCACTTTTCTTAATAATATAATTGAATATGCAAGTAACTTTGTCAAAATTTTCAAAATATACAAGAAAAGTAATCATTTTCTTTTACTGGACAATTAAATTTGTTCATAAAAGAGATTTTGCACATAAATAAATAACGGTAAGAAAGGGGATTTGGGGCATTTTTAAATCAAATTAAATCCGGTTTGAAAAATAATTTTAATCTTGGGTAATATTGACAAGAGTTGAAAGCAAAAAAAGTTATCTATCCCTCCTTTGTCAAACGCATTGTGAAAAGTTCATAGCCTTCAACTTATATCATCAATCGCGCGTAATATTGTGATCGCATTGAGACCTGTAAGAAGAAGAAACAAACAAAATGAATGGAGCAAGAATTGCCGCTAGATTGATTAGAGAAAGCTGTTGTAGGAAGCTCAAGCCAAACCGCTTTTTACCCAGAAATTGCTACTGTACCACGCCTTCTACCAATCTTCCTCCTCGGCCTCCCCCACGATTCCCCCATTCTTCAAAAAAGGTGCTTTCCCTGCGCTTTATTCTCTCTATCTACTTATTTATTCTTACGCACGCATACATGTTCTTACTGAGTTACTTTCATTGTCTATTAATGAACTCATTGTACTCTTTATTTTGCAATTAACAATAAAAAGTTCACGGAAGTCGGGAAACAAGGGCAAGAACTGCTGAACTGCATTTTTCTGATAATAGGAGAGAATTTGAACTTTGGTATCGGTAATATGATATTTTTTTTTATCTTGATGTGGGCATAAGTCTATTTTTTGCACATAGTCGTGGTGTGGGACTTGGAGGCTGACAGCGTGGAGAGTTAAATCTAGGACAACCATATGAGTAATACAATTGATGTTTCATCCTTATGCCGGGAAGAAGGTTCTATGCATTGTGCACAGGAAGATGCAGGGCATTGTAGGTTTATGACAAAACATGTGTGAAGGGATTTGAGGTCTCTAAAAGAGCTAGAAAGCGTATAACATAATTCAAGTTGTCTGATATAGTTATAGTTATATGAAAAGAAACCATGTTTAGGTTTGTATCGCCTATGGATTTAAAATATGCCATGGGCTTGTCCCCGTAATCCGGTGACTAGGATGCGTGACATAAATTATATCCCATAACTGTTTTGCTAAGGCTTACCACATAAGTTGATCTGCTTTTATAAAAATCAGGCACTTTTTATAGTTAAATTGATGCTTGGTCTTTCTGTTTGAATTGCACAACACAACTTGTGTTTCAGAACTTGTTTCTCTCATTTATTATTCCAATATTCCCTAAAGAAACCTGAGTTCTTCCTCACAAAAAGTGAGGATTTCTTTCACTATATATCATTCAGCACATGGCTCTAGTAGGCCAATTTCTTCTTCTGTGCAATTTGCATGTATTCATGTGTTCATTTTCATAAACTGTAGGGAATGTTGTTTACCGGAGCTACCATTGGTTTAGTAATAGCAGGAGGAGCTTATGCTAGTACAGTGGATGAAGAAACTTTCTGGTACTAGATTTGAATGGTCAATTGAATAATCTCTTACAACAATACTTTGCAAATATCTGTATTATGATTGATGAAATAGAAGATGCGGAGTAGATGTAACTTATCTTGCAAATATGTATTTGTGCAGTGGCTGGCTATTCTCGGGAACAAAACTTGTAAATCCCTTTTTTGCACTTCTGGATCCTGAGGTAGCCCACAGACTGGCTGTTTCAGCTGCTGCTCGGGGGTGGGTCCCTGTAGAGAAAAGAGAAGACCCCACTGTATTAGGCCTCGAAGTTTGGGGGAGGAGGTTCTCAAATCCTCTAGGCCTTGCTGCTGGTTTTGACAAGAATGCCGAGGCTGTTGAAGGTTTACTTGGGTTAGGCTTTGGCTTCGTGGAGGTTGGCTCAGTCACACCCATTCCTCAGGAAGGCAATCCAAGGCCTCGTATCTTCAGACTGAGGGAGAATGGGTAAAAATAATATAAAAAGTACTACCTCCGTCCCGCTAACATTGGGACATGAGGATGTGATGCGGTTATTAAGGAAAGTGGGTTTATGTGATTGAAATTGAATTGATAAAGTAAGAATAAAATAAGAATGATTTAGAACTACATGAATTTTACCAAATTTTATATGAGACAATCTTAGTGGGACGAATCGAAAAGGAAAGATGAGACAATCTTAGCGGGAATAAGGGTGTAAATACTTAAAAATTGTACTTCTGTGCTCAGTTAATTTCTTTTACATATGAACTTGTGTTTTTATTTCCATCATTTCTAGTGGAGCCAAAATCATTATTTTTTTTGCTTGAGAATATGATGGAATAAAACAAAACGACTCACTAAGCTGTCTGCGCTTCTTTGTTATGAAGCAACAGTCAGTCCATGCAATTTTCGTCACGGGTCATCCAAAAACAGTCTCTCTGTGCTTTAGTATAGGAGTAAGGCTGTGTATATCTGACCCCCTTACTCCACCGTAGGTGAGAGCCTTTGTGGCACTGGGGTAATGTTGTTATTGTATATGAGCACGTGTTTTGTATATAATACTGATCTTAATGTGCTTGAGTGGCTTTCTTTACAGTGCTATAATAAATAGGTGCGGCTTCAATAGTGAAGGAATTGTGGCTGTAGCAAAGCGGTTAGGTGCTCAGCATGGTAAGAGAAAGTTGGAAACTTCCAGCACTTCGTCTCCAGCAAGGGATGAAATCAAACAGGGAGGGAAAGCCGGTCCTGGAATTCTTGGGGTTAATCTGGGAAAGAATAAGACGACAGAAGATGCTGCTGCGGATTATGTTCAAGGAGTTCACACATTATCTCAATTTGCGGACTATCTCGTAGGTTTCTAACAAAAATACAAATTTTCCTTTTCATTTTCTTCGTCTTCTATTACAATTATGTTTGGATCCGGGGAAGTGCTAGGTAAAGGAAAGAAGATGCTAAGGAAAGTTATTTTCTTATGTTTGGATTTACCTTGAGAAATGCAATGAAAAATGTTTTTATTAAACCGTTTACATATGTTTAGATTTCTTAGCATTTTTTATATAATTAAAATAGATATTTTAAAAAAAGACATGGAAAAATACAAGAACAAAACATCCAAGGCTTAGTCCCAAAAGAATACAATGAAAAATGTTTTTTAAACCGTTTACATATGTTTAGATTTCTTAGCATTTTATATATAATTAAAATAAATATATTAAAAAAAGACTTGGAAGAAATACAAGAACAAAACATCTAAGGCTTAGTCCCAAAAGATTTTGGGGACTAAGGCTTGGAATAAATATTAAAAATAAATTTATGTAGTATGAAAAATGTTTATTTTCCTCAACATTTAACTCATTCCTAAATTCTCATTTCCTCCTTATTTTCTTTCCCTAGCATTTGCCACAATACATACGAACTCAATTATACATGAGCAATGATAGGTGTAGAGATAGAGCTAGGGAAGGTCTTAGGAAAATCTAAAATCATCAACATCCCCTCAAAATGAATAACTAAAAATGCCTCAAACGCACTCACTTAATGAGTACTCTTGCCAGAAAATATCACATTTTTAACCGTGTTTGACCCCCTCTCAACCCCTATCATCATTGACTATACACCCTCACAGATACATCATGGGTGCACCTGATTTCTTTTCTCTCCTATACCTATGCTGATCTTGGAGTACTTATATCTTTACATGTTGGGATTGTGTTGTCTTTTTAGATCGTTCAATCTTACACAGACACAAACCCACACATTCTTCATGCTTTCTTTTGGTGTTTTAGGTGGTTAACATCTCTTCACCGAACACTCCTGGACTGCGCCAACTCCAGGGAAGAAAACAGTTAAAAGACCTTGTGAAGAAGGTTTGATGGCTTTATTGATGTTTTCTCTCTGCAATCTTGTGTGGTGGTGGGTTCACAAACTTCTTAATAAAGCTGGATCAATTATATCTGCCTTTAATTTATTAGGTACAAGCAGCACGAGATGAAATGCAGTGGGGTGAAGAAGGTCCACCTCCGCTGCTTGTAAAAATTGCTCCAGACCTGTCTAAGCAAGATCTTGAAGATATTGCAGCAGTACGCCCATGTTTATTATCGACATGATTTCTTTTGTGATTTGTTTGATTATAATTTTGTTTCTCATGTATTTGCAGGTTGCTATTGCTCTTCGTGTGGATGGATTGGTACACTTCCCTGGACAATTTATGCTGCCCCTTTAACTTTGAATATTATGCATTTGCCTTCATTTTCCCTTTGAGCACATCCTGTTGCTAGAAAGTAGAGACTGAGGTAGACTATTAAGGTTATTTTTCATGTAGTTATGAGGTGACTTAATGGTTCTGAGATGTTAGGCAGGAAATAATTTAGCAAACAATTTATATGGTTTTCAACAAAGTGGTAGACAGTTGGAGATTTTTATGACTTAATGTGAAAAGTAATTGCCCCAAATGGGAGTAAAACATCGTAAAAGTGCCAAATAGGAGTACATATTCTAAATTCCAAAAATAAAGGTTCCAATTACTTTTCTACCCCTTCTAGGGTTTAGGATTTACCGATCCACTTTGGGTTTAGTCTTTAGTGGCGGCGGCTGGCGATTTTACGGCAACTCTCAAGAAGCAGCTGTCAGCAGGTGGCGGCGGTCCAGTGGTGGCTGCTTTCGGAGGCCAAAGTTGTACACTAAATGGGCATTTTTGCCCACTCACGTCTTTTACTCCTATTTTGAGAATTTAAAACATATATTCCTATTTATGCACTTTCGCATTGTTTAGTTCTACTTTGGGAATTAATCTGCATGTGAAACCCATAGGGAACAAAATATGTTACTGATGACACATCGTTCAATTAATAATGCAACACATACCTCTGAAAACAGTTATACATTGTTCAATAGTTCGTGTTAAGAAATGACTGTTCAATAGAAACTGTGAAGGGCGGGGGGATATCTTTAGGGTTTATTTGGATCAGATTGGAGGGGCTTGGAAGAGAAGGATTTGGATGTCTCCGTCCTTGATATGTATTTGAGATTTTATGAAAGTTAAAGATTTACATAATATGTGATAGTATAAAATTCACCTTTTATGCCTTGGAGGGCAAATCTAACCCCTACAAAACACTCCATCCAAACAAACCATTAGGATCCTAGGAAGAGTTGTGCACATATGAGAGAAGAGAGAAGATATCAAAATCTTTCACTTCCTGTTTCTCTTTGAAAGGCACATAGCAAATCTGGAAGAGTTAATCTCAATTCTCAATACCAAAAGTTTCAAGTTGTGGAGTCAGTCGTTTCAAATCTTTCACTTCCTGTTTCACTTCCTGTTTCAAGTTTCAAATCTGGCTTCAGTTGTCAAGTCTGTCATTTTATCATGACATGGTGTAAATGGGTCTGCACTAAATAATAGTGTACATATCGTATCTTCTGACTTAAGTTTTCAAGCCCATAGTTCTATCATGACATGGTGCAAATGAATCTACACCAAATAATAGTGTTAAGTATTTCACATCAGTGATACTTAACTCAGCAATTCGCTTAATCGATTGGGAAGTTTTTCCTAATTGATGACCCTCTAGCTAAGGTGGTTAAACTCGAGATCCTAGCACAAATCAGAAAGGGTCTGAGAGATCATAACTTGGACCGTAAGATCCTAGAATCAAAGCTACCATGGAATATTTTAATTTATCTATATGATTGCTTAAATTTAAAACTTAAATTAAATCCCACATAATAATTAATATTAATCACATAATGTCAAGAACCAGAGGTAAGTCTAACAGGAGGAAGTAGAGGAGATGCTTACGAGAAATTTCTCTCCTAAATGAAGAGGCTGAGAACAAATTGGAGAGGAGATGCATACAAGAAAGGCTGATCAGCTTATGAATTAGAAATTGTAAATGAGATAGACTTTTATATTCATCAAGGATTCAAGAATCCTGAATCCATGAATAGCGTTGCATTATTAGAATTTTGATGCGCTTGTGCTCTAGAATCGCCATCGTTTCATGTACCAGACTCTTTCGCAGACCGACTATGCTGCTGCACTGTTGTTACCCTCTCTCAGATTGACTCGTTGTGCTGATTCTGCAATCTTTGTGACCAGTCCTTTTCCTATCTAACCTACGAGGCTACGACCTAGATCATCCAAAGCTGTGTTACTCGTAAGATGGGATGATCTTATGATCCAATACTTAATTTTAACAACCTTGCCTCTATCTCCCCACAGCTAAGCTCAGCAAATTGTGTAATCGATGCTTAATCATGCATCTAGCGGCAAAACTTGCTCTTTGGCAGTTCTTCCGACAGCTATCTTGGGAACCAGAGCACGTTTCTTCAGTTAAGAACAACTCCTTGTGCACGAGGTACATAGACGACGTTGGGAACATAGAAAGCAAATTGAGTGACTAGAGATTTACTTCTCTCAAAGGGTTTAGTGTCGGGTTGTGATAGGTAACGGAAGAATCCAAGTAGAAAGCAGTAGTATATTAATGAAGTTTTAGTGAGGGAATACAGAAAGTAACGAAAAAAAGGTTTGAGACTCTTCGAGTGGCCTCTCACTCCCAATATCCCAGTCCCGATCCCAAGTTCCCCTACCCCCATCTACTCACCACTCACCCTTATTTATTCTATTTCTAATGGGCCAGCCCACTTCTATTTAGTTGTAAGGCCTGAAACCCTATTATTGACCAATATTAAAATAACTTGAAAAGACTCTAATTATTTGTAGTGTCCAGGTCCCTAACATCACCCCCCCCCCCCCCCCCCCCCCTTGAACTTCCACCTTGTCCTCAAGGTGGATGATAAGAGACTGATTTTGCGTTAGGTTCCAGCAAGTTGTCAGCTTCATCCCGTTCATATAACTGATCTTCTGTGCCCTTCTCTTCTTCTGGCTCTTCCATCAAGATAAATTGATAATGTTTCATTCCACAAACATGCTCTTTGCCCCATTTGTTTCCTCATTTGAAGCATAGGCCCTTCTTGCTTCTTTCTTCTAAGTCCGCTTGTGTCAACCTTTGGCCACCTTCCCATGTCTTATTCGGTTTTGGTGATTCCTCCAGTTTGTTCTCTGAAAGTGTTTTCTCCGGAGTTAAAGCAGGTGTTCTTCCCTTTATTGCTTCCACCCAGTTCCAAGGTCTAACCTTTTTTCCTCCCTGTTCCTTACCGCCTGTGTTGTCTTCTTTATTTTTTTCTCCTGTCCACACCTTGTTCTTCTGCTCCAACAACAATGCCTTGTCCATCAATTCAGTTAACCCACTGGCCTGTTGCAACTTCAGTTCCGTGCTAATTTCTTTTTTAAGGCCGTTGAGAAACACTCCTTTTAACATCCCTTGGTCAGCAAGTTTGAGAGGAGCTACAACCATTTCAAAGTGATCCCGGTATTCCATTACTGAATCAGTTTGCCTAATACTGAGCATAGGACCAAACGGATTCTGTACTAAGGCAGGTTGGAAACGCCGGATCAAAGCATCTTTGAAGTTAACCCAAGAATGGTCATCAGTCTGTTCATCCCACCATTGGTACCAGTTCAGAGCTTTTCCGGTCATGGCTATCAAGATTACTTCTACTTTATCCTCTTCTGCCACATGGTTGAGTTTGAAATAGCGTTCAACCCTAATCAGCCATCCATAAGCATCGTCTCCACTAAAAAGTGGTAAATCGACCTTTCTTCCAGTATATACACGGTCGCTGATTCTCGTCTGATAAGGGCTGTGTGAAACTGAGTGAGTTTCTTGAGATTTACCTTCAGAACTAGAGGAGCTCACGCTTGCTGAAGTATGGCGACGACGGTTTGTGGTTGATCGTCCTCTTCTCTTCCTGTGACTACCTTGGATCTCGAGACTTTGCATCTTCTCTAACAGCGTCTGCATCCGCTCGTCCATCATTGCTTTCATCTCAGCGCGCATATCGGCCATAGATCGCTCCAGCGATATCTCCAAATTATTTATCCGCTGCTCCATGTTCGATCGAGTGAGGACCATACAAAGATGCAGCGATAGTTGGCTTTGATACCAATGATAGGTAACGGAAGAATCTAAGTAGAAAGCAGTAGTATATTAATGAAGTTTTAGTGAGGGAATACAGAAAGTAATGAAAGAAAAGGTTTGAGACTCTTCGAGTGGTCTCTCACTCCCAATATCCCAGTCCCGATCCCAAGTTCTCCTCCCCCCATCTACTCACCACTCACCCTTATTTATTCTATTTCTAATGGGCCAGCCCACTTCTATTTAGTTGTAAGACTTGAAACCCTATTATTGTCCAATATTAAAATAACTTGAAAAGACTCTAATTATTTGTAGTGTCCAGGTCCCTAATAGGTTGGTTGTCTTGACACTAGATTAGTTCGGCGAAGCCGAAATCCTTGATTTATAAAAAAGTATCCTTTGATCAGATGTTTATAGATCTACGTTTAATCAATACTCCCTCCGTATTGAAATGTTCGCTACACTTTCCTTTTTGGGATGTATTGTAATTTTTGCTACACTTTTTCTTTTCGATAGGTTTTTCCTCTAAAAATACTAAATTACCCGTATTTTTTTCTACTTTTTATCTTCTCTTTCATATTTTTCCACCTTCGCTCCAACTTTTTCTACACTATTTATTATCCCTTCTATTTTTCCCTTAAATATTGTGCCAAACCCTGTAATAGCAAACATTTCAATATGGAGGGAGTATAGAAGTAATAAACCTCACCTCTTGGGGTGATAGGGTGAGTTAGACCTGATTTTATATGGTATATAGCCTGTTCGGTTATGGTTTCTTTGTTTGTTTATTAGACCCTCTATGGTTTAAGGTACATTTGGGTTCAATTTACTTCATTCATCCTCTCAAATTATCTATCCTGGTGTGGACTGAGGGGACATTTTAAGTATTAAATATTTACTAGATTTATGTAAATCTGAACTTCTGTTCTTACATTGTATTCCATGTGTTCCATTTGTGGCAAATGAGTGCTAAATTGCTAAATTCATGGACTAAGAAGTTTATGTGAATGGTGCTTAATCATTCATTAATGGAGTGTAGACTGTAGAGCATTCTTTGTTTGTTGGCTTATTTTAGGTTCATCTTTTCTTATGTATGATGATTAATCACGAATTGTACGCAAAGGTTTTGTTGCATATGTGATTTATGTATTTCATGCTGCTTGTTATTTTTTAATTGCACAGTATGCACACACATGGATGGACAATTAGTCTTCTGGTAATTTTTTTATTATCTGTAGATAATATCAAATACAACCATTCAAAGACCTGAAACTGTGAGTAAGAACCCCGTGGCTATAGAATCTGGTGGCTTGAGTGGAAAGCCTCTTTACGAGCTATCAACTAATATTCTCAAGGATATGTATATTCTAACAAAGGTTTGCTGCTTGTTTCTAAACATCACTTCTTTTAACTTTACCTTTAAGCAATTATCAACTGTTCTCTTAACATGTGTTGAATGTTACTCTTTCCAAATAGAATTCTAGATTTTCTAAAATAGTAATTTAGTCTTCTCACTCTTCTGTAAGCATGGTCCAATATGCCATTTATAACAGTGATATTTTTATATACAAGGGAAGGATTCCTTTAATTGGCTGTGGAGGTGTCAGCAGGTAACTCGAGTTCCTGGTTTTTCATATATTATTTGTTGATTGTGAATTTATTTACACATTTAAATCCTTGCTGGAAAATTCAATCAGTGGTGAAGACGCGTACAAGAAAATACGAGCTGGTGCCACTCTTGTGCAGCTCTATACAGCCTTTGCATATGGAGGTCCTGCACTTATACCCAAGATAAAGGTATTCTACATTTGGGAGTATTGAATATGTGGAGATTTCCCATTTTCTTTGCTTTTAATTTGGAAATGGCAGTAAATGAACCATGACATGTAGTTAACATGTGCAGAGTGAGGTTTCAAACTTTCAATATGCCCAACCTTTAAGGATAGTGGTCAGTGCGGCTTTGTTTGGGAGTTTTTATTTTATTAACATTCGCAGATTACGTACTGGTTAAAACCTCGCTGCACGGCCTAACCGTGGTGCAGTTTGGGCCTTAAGTTGGTGCTTTTCATATTTCATTATGAGCTTCCAAACCTTTGACTTTGAGCATTCAAATTTCTTCTCTTTTGCCTTTTTGACACAAACTTGACATCCAACAACAACAACATCCAAGCTTTATTTCCAAAAGAATTTGGGATGTATCCATGGTAACATGAATCGATCCATGGTATCAGAGCCAAAAAGAAAAAAAGAAGAAAAATAAAAGGATAAAAGTAAGAGTTAAGATAAAAAGGATAAGATAAAGATAAATATAAAATAAAAGAACATAGAAAGATAAAAGATACAAACAACATAAAAACATAAGAAAGATAAAGCAAATAAAAGAAAGGGAGAGAGAAAAGAGATCAATCCTCCACACAAATATTCACCCACCACTTTGCTCTCTCAAAAGCCATACTCTCATCCAATCCAAGAAGAAGCGTATCACTCTTGATTCCTCTAGTCCATGTTTGTTTGTGTCTTCCTCTTCCTCTCCTCCCCACCTCTTCTTGCCACCTCTCAACTCACCTAACACGTGTGTAACTCGGTCTTTTACACACATGACCAAACCACCACAATCGAGACTCTTGCATCTTAACTTCTATAGGTGCTACTCCCACATTTTGTCTGATTATCCCATTCCTCAAGTTGTCTTTTTCTGGTATGTCCACACATTCAACATAACATACACATCTCTTTCACACTCATCTATTGAAGGTGACATTGTTTCATTGTCGAACACTATGCCATACATTAATGTAGGCCTCATTGTTGTTTGATAAAATTTACCCTTCAGTCTAGTCAGCATACCTCGATCACATAGAAATCCTAGTGCACTCTTCCATTTCATGCACACTGCTCTGATTTTACGGGATACATCTATATCTAGTTCACCATCCTTCTGAACTATGGAGCCCAAGTAACAGAACATATAACAAATTGTTATATTCTTGCCATTAAGGGTAATCCCACTATTTCTACCTCCACCTAATTTGCACTCCATATACTCAGTCTTGCTCCGATTCAGTTCGAAACCCTTGGTCTCCATTGTTTGCCGCCTAAGTTCTAACTTTGCTCTAACACTCGATTGTGTCTCATCTATCAATACAATATCGTCAGCAAACATCATGCACCACATTTTATCTTCTTGAATTTGACTTCGTAAGTTCATTCATAACGATTGCAAATAAGAAAGGACTTTGAGAATATAGTTGATCCTTGGTGGATTCCGATAGTAATAGAAAACATTGCAGTCCTCCCTACACTAGTACCGACACTTCTAGTACAAGCCTTATACATATCCATGATGATGCTGATATACTTACGTAATATGTCTTTTCTTGTTAAGACCCACCAAAGGACTTTTCGATGTACCCTATCTTATGCCTTTTCTAAGTCAATGAACTCCAAATGCAGATTCTTTTTAGTGTCTCTATGCTTCCTCATAACTTGTCTAAGAAAGTTAATGATCTCAGTTATTGAGTGTATAGGCACACAACCAAATTGATTCTCAGAAATTTTCTCACTTCTTCAAAGTCTTTGCTCAATCATTCACTCCCAAAGTTTCATGGTGTGACTCATAAGATTAATCCATCTCTCCGTCGAAGTTGACAAAATGGATCAGTAACTTCGGGAAAAGGATTGACATGGGGTCCCCGTCTTGAACTCATCGGGGGTTGGACTGCTCGAGCTGCTATCGTGGCGAGAGTAGGTTGCTGCATGCCGGCTAGGGGATGGATTGGGAACGACGCTCTCGAGGGCCTTCCTCGGGCGTCAAACAACCAACTCAGAACTAATGCATACAAGGGAAATCCGACTGTTTAATTAAAACAAAACATTGTGATGGTCCTTGCGGATGTTAAAGCAATGCGATTTCTGCCCAGTGGTGTGAATGTCAAAGTGAAAAATTCAACCAAGTGTGGGTAAACGACAGGAGTAACTATGACTCTCTTAAGGCAGCCAAACTTAAAATGCAAAGAGTACGAATTAGAATTGGCTAGCCTTTTAAAACTGTTTTATCAAATTTAACATTCTTTCACTAAATTATATTATCTTATGAACTTAATGTTGCAATAATTAAGATTGGAAAAATACAAACTCTTATAAACATATACATACTTCGTCTAATCTAATATAACATTATAGCCATGAATGGTGGGTGTTATTCCTGGTATCCTCAATTTCAGTCAACTTTCTATGCAGAGTCACACCATTTTGTCAATCCAAAGAGTACAAATTAGACTTAGCTAGCCTTTGAGAACTGTTTTATCAAATTAAACATTCTTGCCCTAAATTATACTATCGTATGAACTTAATGTAGCAATTATTAAATTTGGAAAAACACAACAAACCCTTATATGCATATATATACTTGATATAATCTAATATAACCTTATAGCCACGAATAGTGGGTGTTATCCCTGGTATCCTCACATTGTGTCAACTTTCTGTGCATAGAGTCATAGAGTTGTGCATTTTAGTGATTTTACCCACATAGGCACATGGCTTTACATTTTCCTTTCGTGGATAAACATGTCCTGCTGTCATATCAAATTTAGAGTAGGGTAGTTTTCTGTCCAAAAGTGCTCCTCAATATTGGCTTTGCTTTCACGTGGCAAGTGTCGGCTAATAAAGGGATGATCCAACAACTGACATAGGTTAACTCATTTATTTTCAAAAAGCTATTTCAAACTATGGTAATTGTTTCATATTCATTCAGTTTTTTATGTATAATGTATGCAACTAATTGTTCTTTTATGGTCTTTTACATGATACCCATATTAGTTTATAAAAATCTTCATTCATTCATCATCATTACCCCAACCCCAATGCCGCAAAGGCTCCCACCTAAGGTATTACAATCACCCCCTCTTAGGATCTTGCCCCGCTAAGTGCCCTGCCCGATATCCAACGGGTCAACACACTGTCGCAGGGTTGCTCTGATACCACCTGTAACACCCCGGTCCCGTAGGGACCCGAGGTAGTTACTCTAGACCTCTAGTACTGTCCCCACAAACCACCACGAGCCTTTACCGCGCACTTTGTCCTCACTCATGTGCGCTCTGATAAACTTCTCAGGGTGTCACCCATCCCAAGACTACTCCCGTGCAAGCACGCTTAACTTTGGAGTTCTTGGGTGATGAGCTCCCTTAAAAGGAGATGCACCTCTGTTGGTATGAGTAGTACTATTAATCCTCTTAAATTAATCTCGGGTATTACAGGTTAGCAAGCAATTAGCCGGTTAGTCTGCTCATGTGGTCTCCTATGTAGCATTTTTTATTTTTATTTTTATTTTTTAGGAACTGTGTAGCTGAAACATTTTTCACTATATTCTTTTTATTTATTTTATAAACAAAGACAATTTGAACCCTCTTTTCCAATACCCCACCTACCTTACAACGCCGGTCGCTGGCCATGGAAGCTTATCCCCTTTTCGTCTTTGCTCTTCAGTACTAGTCATGTTACGCCAGCCATGGAAGCTGAATTGGAAGATTTCAGAGATAAAGGTTGAAGGTCGGTCGAGTTGGAGGAAAGATGATAGAGAAGATCAGAAGATGGGTGTAGGTCTTCTTCTGATTTGAGTCATGAATACAAAAGGAAAAAGTTAAATAATGTATGTCGAAGTGGAATTGGAAGTGCTTTCCATTCCTTCTCTCCTTCTATACACGTGTAATGCGTTCCAGGCTTTCGTCTTCTGAAGCATTTTTGCCTTCTCTAGCTTTCATTTGTTATTCTTTTATTTTTTTATGTTATTTCCTTTCTTTCCCTAGCCATCAGTAGACACAACTCTATCACCTTGTTTCTTCATCTTGTTTTTCCCTTTATTTTTAGTTTTTTCCTCATTTTTCTTTGCACTCTATTACCTCAATTTGATATGGAACTCATCTGAAAGTTTCAGATTAAAAATTCAAGATCTGAAACCAAATGATTTGTAGAAGTTTGACTAGGAATTTTATTTTTATTGGATCTTAAAGCTAATAAATAATACAATTTCTCTGAGTCCGGTAGTATACTCATCTGCATATCTGCAGTTGAAATGAATAGACACCGGTGGAGAAGTTGAGTTCAGGCTGCCATGGTTCCCGGTCACAGGACTCACAGGTTCCGTTCTAAAAGTGTTGGGCTGAAAAGGTTGACAAAAAAAGAGTGCTTCTCTTTCCTTGGGGATGATAATTAACGCCATGTCAACATAGACGTCACCAGATAATGGATGAACCGGTTGGTGACCGGCTAGAATGCTGGATTGAGTGTTTTTTGATAGTTTGAGGATTTAATTGAGTGTTTTTATAGTATGAGGGCTCAATTGCCATTTTGCCTAAAGTACAAGGACCTATTTGACAGTTTTCCCCTTAAACATATTTAGTGCCAAACTCTAATATTTGTGTCATCATATCTGGTCTTGCTAACAGTTTCATTTTCAATATTTGAAGATCAAATATGGTGGATTTTTGAACTAAATGATCGAATATAAACTGATTCAAATATGGTCATTTTCAATTTTCAATCCTTACTAACAATGCCCCTATACACCCTTGGAGTGGGACTCTTCTCCGAACCTTCGTCTTACTGGGATGCTAATGTGCATCAGGCTGCCCTTTTTTAAATTCTTGTAATACCAAGTACTAAAAATACGACTGATATGGCTTCTATTATTTTGGGATATAGGGATTATATTTTTTGGTAGATATATTTACCTATGTGTTGTGATTTTTGCCTGAATATGTGAATAATGTTTTATATTTCTTACGTCATGCATGCCATCTTTGTAGGCTGAGCTTACCCAATGCTTGGAAAGGGATGGTTATAAGACAATCTATGAGGCAATCGGAGCAGATTGTCGATAGTTTTAAGATATACATATTGCTCTAAAACAGTGCAATAAAATCTAGTTGCTCATCGAAAAGAAAGCGATGAAAATTTCACCCAGGGTTTTCTTGGCTGTTTTGTGATTTTAATTTATCAGTTTCTTTTGAGGTATGCCCTATTGGAAGAGGTTGATTTTGTGGTGCAAAATTTATAACTTGCCATAAATAGCACTGTCCATTTGGTCAAGTTTTATGATCAAGGACTGATTTTGGTTTTTGTTTTTGTAAATTCAAATGCTATATTTAATTTATTCTAGCTGACTTGAACCAATCTTTACCATATGCCAACGATATAATGTGGCAGCGAATGTTATAACTTATAACTAGGGATGGATTGGGACGGGTCGGACTGACCCGGGCCTGACCCGGACTTGTTACTGTTTAGGCCTATCACATCCCGTTACTGTATAGGCTTGGTCCTGTCCTGGGGCCCGGTCCGGTGGTTATAAGGGCGGGCTTCAGTATCAATTTTTTGGGTGGCCGGGTCCGAGCTTGACTGCACTGTTTTTTTAATTGAATGCCCAGTCCCATCCTGAAGCCTGACTTGGCTGATACTGTTTGGGCTTGACCCGACCCGGTCTCGGTACAAACCTGAGCCGATACCGGTCCTGAAATCCTTAAGCCCAAAGCCCGCCAAGTCCTGTCTCGAAGCCCGGTCCTGTCCCAGTCCATCCCTAGTTATAACCATGTACTTCACAAATTAGGGAAAATTGTCAAAGTCCATCTACTTTTACTAAAAAGTCAATAGAGTTCATAAACATTTAAATGAACCAATTGAGTTAGCAAAGTGTCAAAAAATAACCAAATCAACTATTTCAGAGGCATGCAACAAGTTTCCCGGTTAATGGTGAACGTGGATCGTCCAACAGTCCAACTGGCTTTGTCTTATTACTCCTTTCTATTTTTTACTTTTTCTTATCCTTTTTCCTTTTCTCTTGCTTTCTTTCCTTTTTCTCTTTTTTTTTTGTCTCGGTCTCTTGCTATCCTGTTTCATGCCTCCATTTAGGGGTGGACTCGGGCCGGGCCAACCGGCCCGGAACCGGACCAGCCCGTTGCTGTGCGGGTCTGGCCCGGAACCGGACCAGCCCGTTGCTGTGCGGGCCCGGCCCGGCCCGGTGAACCGGTTCCGGGCCCGGTTCGTGCCAACCGGCCCGGTGGGATGGCGGTTCGGGCTCGGGCCCTTCAAAAGGTGAACTGGCCCGGCCGGTTCGGGTCCGGGCCGGGCCAATTTTTTTTTTGATTTTTTTTAAAGTTTTTGGGTTGGGCTGGGTATTTTGGGCCATTTGAGGTGGTTAGGGTTGGTTTGGGGGTGAGGGGGAGGGTTGGGGGTTAACTAGGAAAAGCCAAAAAAAAAAAAATTAGGCCCGGACCCGGGGGTTACACCTTTGATAAAAAATGACATTTGGTCAATTGAAGATGTTTTGTTACACCTTAGGACAAGCCCGATGCTGTGCGGGCCCGGCCCGGCCCGGTGAACCGGTTCCGGGCCCGGTTCGGGCCAACCGGCCCGGTGGGATGGCGGTTCGGGCTCGGGCCCTTCAAAAGGTGAACTGGCCCGGCCGGTTCGGGCCCGGGCCGGGCCAATTTTTTTTTTGATTTTTTTTTAAGTTTTTGGGTTGGGCTGGGTATTTTGGGCCATTTGAGGTGGTTAGGGTTGGTTTGGGGGTGAGGGGGAGGGTTGGGGGTTAACTAGGAAAAGCCAAAAAAAAAAAAAATTAGGCCCGGACCCGGGGGTTACACCTTTGATAAAAAATGACATTTGGTCAATTGAAGATGTTTTGTTACACCTTAGGACCAGCCCGCTGCTGTGCGGGCCCGGCCCGGCCCGCTACTGTGCGGGCCCGGCCCGGCCCGGTGAACCGGTTCCGGGCCCGGTTCGGGCCAACCGGCCCGGTGGGATGGCGGTTCGGGCTCGGGCCCTTCAAAAGGTGAACTGGCCCGGCCGGTTCGGGCCCGGGCCGGGCCAATTTTTTTTTTTTGATTTTTTTTTAAGTTTTTGGGTTGGGCTGGGTATTTTGGGCCATTTGAGGTGGTTAGGGTTGGTTTGGGGGTGAGGGGGAGGGTTGGGGGTTAACTAGGAAAAGCCAAAAAAAAAAAAAAATTAGGCCCGGACCCGGGGGTTACACCTTTGATAAAAAATGACATTTGGTCAATTGAAGATGTTTTGTTACACCTTAATATCCCTCTTTCACAAAAATGTTATTCCCTCTTTTAAACAAAATTGTCTCTTTTAATTGAAAAATATAGATTGAAAACATGTTGAGATAATTAGTTCAAAAATAAGACATACTCAATAAACAAAAATAAACATTATTAACCAATGTTATAATCAAGTAAATAAACGATTTTCTATTAGTTGTGATAACTCATACACATGACATCGTCACCACACATACTTCGTAATAGTAAAATAAAAAACGAAAATCATTTTATCCTGTGCATTCCATTATACTAGTACAAAATATCTTCAAACTACAATATGTGTAGTTAAAATTAGAGATTAAAAAAGATTTTGATCACATGAATAAAGTATGGGAATCTTAAATTGCTAACCCAAATAAATACATTTCAACAAGATGTCATATTTTTAAAACAACAGGGCATTTAAGTGTTAATATCAAGCAACAACAGGGTTAAAGAGAAATTATGCAGAACCAAAATTTAGAACACGTATCCTTGTCGTCTGCCCGAATACGTATACTTGTGATTCTAGTGACAGACAGAAGAAGTGTCATTTGAGTAGACACTCAAGACAAGTTGACGCTTTTTCAAAACCACTCGAGCGAAGTTTCGTATCAGGTTTCTTCTTATAGTGCTAGGTTTATTAGCTCGGCCACTTGACCGTAAACAAAGCTGACAAATTCTGTAAACTCGCCATGGATGTTGAGGCCGCTGAGCTCCAGGACTGGGAAGTTGTCTTACCCGACCCGATTTCGGCTGATTCGGGTTTAGGTGATTCTGATAAGAGCCCAAAGGCTTTTGAAGAAATTGGAGCCGACTCTGTAGGTACTGTTCATGCCAATTACTTCTCTTTAGGTACTAGGGAGAGTTATATGGGCAGTGTTGCTGATGTCAATGTGAGCGAGGCGGGTTCCGAGGCCTCTGACAGTCCGAGCTGGATTGATCCCGGGTCAGAGGCGGGATACCCGAGGAAGGAATCCGGAGAGTCTTGGCCCGACTCGGGCAGTGACGGGTCGGAGGATCGGGCGTTTGAGGGTAAAGGAGAAATGGGAGTTCTCCCGAAAGAACTGGTTCGAGAGCGTTTTGATGGGATCCAGGAGATAAGATGTGGGTGCGGGAAGAACGAATCTGGTGATGGATTGAAGATTGAGCAGTTTGAAGAGTCCCCCGGAATTGAAGGAGATGCAGATTTGGTACAGAGATCTGCGGGAAAAAAGAAAGAATCTGAAGCTGTGGAAAGTGCGCGGAAGAAACCAGATGAAGTAAAGAGGATTAGAAGTGTGGTGTGGTGGAAGATACCTTTTGATTTTCTCAAGTATGGCGTTGTGTTCAGGTCTAGTCCTATCTGGAACTTCTCGGTGGCTGCTGCTGCTGCTTTAGGCCTTGTTTTTTTGGGCCAAAGGTTGATGCATAAGATGATGATGCATAAGAAGAAGAAAGTCAAGAACTTGGAGCTGAATATCACTGTGGATGACAAGGTTTGTGCGAAGTTTTTTTTTGTTATCCAGTCTCCTTTGCTTAAATTTAGTTTATCAAGCTTTATCATTTAATTATTGAGCTCCAAGTATCTTATGAGGAGTACATGTATAATAACTATATTATTAGATTCCTACTTTCATGGAGCTATACTTTAGAGATCCCCAAGGCTTACATGTTTAGTCTAAATAACAGGAAGTGTCAAATAAATAACAGACTTTCTAATACACATAATAGGAAGTGGAGTGACTAGAATCACTAGACATTGAACTACACCATAACTTCCAATTCACAACTTTTCGGTGCCTGCCACTAGTAAAACTTCACAGGAGAGTTGAACCTCTTTTTTTCTGGTCAGTAAGTGTGCAGGCCTTTCTACTCTCAAACATCTTACTTCACCGCCTCACGTTGTGTAGTTTTTTATTGCCATGTCAGCAAATTTTGATTATAGACCACAACAGTACAACCATTGGAAGGGAAAAATATTTAGTGAATGTCTGATTTAACGATGTGGTACACTTTACCTAGACTAGACCTGTATGCATTGGAGATGCTCTCACTACTTGTTTAAGTTTTGGTAGAAGTTGCCCATGAGAGTGGTTTATTCTGCCCTCCATTAGGTTATTGTCTATACTCCCCATATGCAAACCAATGCTACTTTCAATAACCAACCAAGAAACATTCTTTCCTGAAGGATTGTAACTGATTTTTTTTCCTGGTTGCTTTTAAAGTGAAAATTAATCATTCCATAACAATGTATGTTTGTTAAACAATGTATAAAGTAGTTTTTCTTGATTGGGAGAGTAAACAGAGCATACACATATAGCTTTCTCTGGGGAAAAAATCAGTGCACTTTCCTCTCTTTGGGGATGCGTGCTGACTGGAGTTCTTTGGATTGTTTCTCTAAATGCTTCACAACATCGTTTTATTTAGGGGCGGGCATCTCTGGTTAGAGAAAATTGTTACCAAACTAAAACAAAACTATGTTTTGGTTTGAATTCATAATTTTTAGACATAATAAGGTCTTACTCAAATTTTGTGTCCGTTTAGTAACCCCTTGTTGGCTTATCAATCTTATCTGCCTACTTTTTCACCAATGGCTGAATTACTGAAGATGACTATTTTAGTTATTTCTCATAAGTTTTAGATCATTTTATTTAGAAATACTCCCTCAGTCCCATTTTGTAAGATACTTTTCCTATTCACTTGGTCAACACAAATCACTCTTAATCTCTTACTTTATATATCAATTTTTTATCAAATTTGATTCTGGTTTTTGCGACTTTGTAAAGCTTTTAATGTAGTTTCTGAATATGTAATTCTTTTTTTCTAAAAAAATTTGAGTGCGGACAGGGATCCGTTTGCTTTATTGTCGGTCAAACATCGTAAACCGTAAAGTGCCTTACAATTCGGGACGGAGGGAGTAATATTTTAAATATAATCATTTCTTATTTCAAAAAATTCAGCCTTAGTTTCCGTAATTTCAGGATATTCAGTCAATTTTAACATTACCAAATGTGTTCTATACTTCTATTTTGTTCCATTTAGGTTCAGTTTAATACATTTGGAAAAATATCTTAAACCAAATCACTTATGGTTTAGTTTCGGCCCAGTTTTGTTCGATTCGGTCTGGCCAAACTGAACCGAAATGCCCATCCCAGAACTTTTATCCCTGGACATTCTAGCTATGTTACGTTTTCCCTATTATATTTTATTTATAATAACTGAATATAAGTTTGGGTTACGTGGTTAACCGCTATGCCTAACCATGGGAAGAACATAAGAAGTCTGAAATATGCGTACTTTTCACCATTTGGTGGCATTGATTTAAATATTGTATGCTTGGTTTGATATGTCTGTTACTGATCAGTGAAGCCTGACCGTATTTATAAACCTCTTTGGCATATACAGAAGGTGTCTCAGTTCATGAGCGGTGCCTCACGTCTTAATGAAGCATTTTCCATGGTGAAGCGGGTGCCTGTGATCCGATCTCAGTTGCCGGCAGCTGCAGTTATTCCATGGCCTGTAATAGCTTTGGTATAGGATGTAAAAACGTTTCAGGAAAACATGGTTAATATCATTCTCTAAGTTTGTATTTTGTGCTTTTGTATAATATACTCCTTGTACACATGAATCAACTTCAGTGGAAACATCAGCAGACTTTTGTACAGTTCGAATGCTACTCCGTATTTTACACGGAGTACTACTCACTATCTGCTCTTGTTCTCAACAGAGTTTAGTGCTCCCACTAATTAGCTACTGTAATGAGGTGAAGTTAAATCAATAAAATCCCGTGCAAAATGTTTGTGGCATCTTACACTGTCCACCACCTTGGCTCACTGCATTTCACAGTGCTCATCATATCACATCACATGTGTAAACTTAATCAGCTCACATTACAAAGAAAGATTCACGATGAGTTTTTCTTCCTTTCTAATTGTAGAAGGCAACCAACGGAAGTCGGTAAGGTAAAAGCTAGGAGTTTCTTATCAAAATTTATTAAGACAAAAGATAAATTTTCCTGGAGGGGGATAGACCTTACCCCAAAAGTAAATGAGAAAAAACTTTAAAAGACATAAGGTAAACTAACACTGTCTAAAGACTCTAAACTGACAGCACCCTTGACATAAGGTAAACCGGATACAAGATTAAAAACCATTTGAGTAGAGAAAATACAATGACTGCTAAGTAAAGCCAGATTGACTCTTGAAGAGCAAAAATAAAAAGAAAACCCATTATCTTGTGTCATAAGTTGGATGAGGGAGAGTAAGTGATGCGAATTCTTGCCCGGGGGTAGTTTTGATCTATTAAGAAGGAAGACAAATAGTCAGTTGATAATAAAGTGAGAATGACCATGGCTAACTATCCACTACATAGATAGCAGGTGGCTCGATTGTTTAGAGTAAAGGTGGATAAAAAAGTTGGCCTGAAATCAGTAAAGTATTTAGGTCCAAATGTCTTAGGATTTAGGAATGAGAATCAATTGAGGACATCGTTAGTGGAATGGGGGGTGCCTTCTGCCTAGGGACAAAATCCTATGTTGCCAAAGTGAAACCTTTGTAAATAATGTCCCAACAAACCTTGAAAAATGGCAGTCCTTGTCTAGCTGCAAGATAGCACATTTGATTTCCACTTCATCAGGTAATGCAGTGAGCATAAGGTTATCAACTTATCATGGTCAAGAAGTGCATTGGGATTATTGTAAAAGGTTATCATGATTAAAAGTAGGTCTAGTTGAATAAAGTTGAGAGAAGTACTCCACACTCCAAGATACAAGATCACAAGATGTTCCATGTTATTATGTTTTTTTTTGTGAGGATTATTATGTTTCTGATAAGAAAGTTAAATAAGATTTAGATTAATGAGAAACATACCAACCAATTTGGAAAGACTTGGGTGACAATTAACTCTTTTCTCCTTGCAAGCATCTTACTTGTTCAAGTAGACTTGAGACTGGTTCGGTTTCTAGGCAAAATAAATGGAACTGTTTGGAAAATGTCAAATCTTAATAACGGTTCGGTTCTTATAAATTTTTATAGAATCGATATGGAACCGAACCATTCTTAACGGTTCGGTTCTTGTCATTTAATGGTTACTCGGTTTTAAAAAAAAACTTAGAAATCACCGTTAAATTTGTGCCAAAAAACATTCAACGTTTGAAATTATAAGATATACAAATATGTTTACCATCATTTCAAACCTCAAAATTTGAGTTTAAAACATAAATACATACCAAACTCAACATTGTAGTGCATACAACAAAACAACATATTCACTACAATCAATAATTATGATTTGGAAGGGTCACGAGTAAAGCACTCAATTCCGACCATCTGAGCTCTAATAAGAGGCCTAAGAGTCTTAGATGAACCTGTTAAAATAAATAATAATGTTAAATACTTAAATAACTAAACTAAAATAGTTAGTGTAATAAAAAAGGGAAAAGAGCCAAAAATGACACTGACGTTGTTTAGCAATCTCAGATAGGACACTGAAGTTTAAAGTGGACCATTTAAACACATAAGTCACCTGTTTGGGTTACATTTGGCCACTCTCTAACTGAGCCATCCATCTGTCGTTAACTCCCTCTTCTCCCCCCAATTAAACGCTACCCAACAACTCCTCAGCAACCCTAATAAAAACGATCAACGACTTCGAGGTGGACTGGTGAAGAGAAATCACGTTCGAGGTGGGTGATTTCACGTTCGTATAACAACAGAGAAATGGGTGATGGAGGTTCACGTTCGAGGTGGACTGGTGAAGAGAAATCAAGCTCTTTCTCCGTTGAATCGGTGAAGAAGCGAAGCAATATAGAATCTGGAACTCCTACTCGTTTCACCTATTGTAAATGCAGAAACATGAATGGAATGGTTACAGAAGCTAGACTTTGGACCTCATGGACTGATAAGAATCCTGGGAGACGATTCTATGGATGCCCATATTATAAGGTAAGTTTGTAAATTGGTGGTCTTGTTTATATAGATGACTGGAATTAATATATGTGTTTTGTACTGTAGAAGGAGGGGTGCGGTTTCTTTCAATGGCATGATAAGCAATTCACAAATAGAGCGAAAGATGTGATAAATCAGCTGAAATGGGAGAACAAAAGGCTTAGGGGTGCACTATGTCACCCAAATGGCAAAGGGGGGATGTTTGATGACACTGCAGGGCTAGAATTTGATACTGAAAGTTGTCAATTTGAAAGTTCAGATCAAAGGTTGCAATATGATAGTACGGAAGCGTGACCGTGGATTCCAAAATCAGAAGCTAAGCACTCCCAGTCATTCACGTGCGTACGGAAGTAATCACTCTTCTTCTAAGCGCACTTACTTTCAGGCTAAGGATCTTCATGGCAGATGAATTTAGTAGCCATATCCGTGAATCAATACGTGTATCTGACCCTATAAACCTCATTTCATACACGACATGACGAAAATTTAGTAACCACCCAAGCGACCACAAGATGTGGAACATTGATAAAGATGATTTCGGGAGTATGGAAAATATTGGAATACTATAATTTGCCATTTTGTCATTTGATGAGTTTTATTAATTGAAACCAGTCTTGTTAAAAGATTTAGATGTAAATGCAAATAGAGAACCAAAACCATTATTTGAATTTAAATTGAAATATCAGTTCTTTAGTTTTTTTAGCATGATCTTTGAAATTTTATTATAGTAGTTAATTATTATTATTATTATTATTATTATTATTATTATCATTATTATCATCATTATTATTATTATCATCATCATCATCATCATCATCATCATCATCATCATCATCATCATCATCATCATCATCATCATTATTATTATTATTATTATATTTATGAATCCTGAATAATATATATTTGCAAATTATACCCTATATTTTTATTATTTATAAATATACCCCGTACCCGTATCCTATAATTTTTGAAATTGTCAGTATCGTCATACCCGTATTCACTTTCGCTTTATGAGCTTATCCGTATCCGTGCAACATACCATAAGAAAGAGTTTCAAGGTTTTGGCTTTGGGTCTTTAAGAGTTTTAAGGCTTACATAATTTCGATTCCTTTAGCAGGTGATGTTTTATTAAGGGAGGTGTATTTATTCAAGACATTTTAAGACATTTTTGGATTTGTCAAATCTTGGTGTATTTGATAAAGACATTTTAGAACTCTCAAAATGTCTAGGTGTATTCATTTTGGACATCAAAACATGGATCGTAGGTAACATCTGGACATATTCAAACTTGTAAGCCCAAACATAGAAGGAAATCCCATTACCCAAATCTCACACCTTTACGTGAGATTTGTAATCCCAGCAAGCACCAAGGTTATCTCGCTCCTTCAAACACAACGATCGGCAGCTTCATCTATCCACAGAGGTAAACATTTTATCCACCCTCTTGCTTTTCGACCGTCGTAACTGTCGTTTTTCTTCATTCCACAAAATCAAACATCTGCAGCTTTGTTTTCTCTATTCCTCTTTGTTAAATCCCTAGAGGTGCACATTCCATCACAATAGGTGACAATGCAATAGAAGACTTGACAGAAACTCCGAATGAATTGGATGGATTAGCGTATGATCCCCTCAATGACACATTTGTCCCATCAAGTACACAAGATTCCACCCGGCCACCCTCTCCTAACAATTACATTGTACCTCAATGTAAGACTGATTAGAGGTTCGTCCATAAAAAAACAAACGAAGTAGGACTGATTTTCAGAAAAAGCCAATGTCTATTGATGTGAAATGCACACAAGAGTTTATGGAAAAGCTCACAGAAAATGTGGACAAATTTGCTCGTGTTATAGATTCCATCGACACAAAAGATTACAATTGTTGGGATATGATAAAAGAGATTCCGGGGTTGTGTGCTGATGATCGTTTCAGAGCTCTTGATTTGCTCAATACAAAAGCAAAAAAAGCTGATTTTGTTAACATGACTGCAGAAGATTGTGTGGAGTGGATAGCATATAAATTGAAATGATGGGTAAATAATATTAGGATTTTTGTTCAGGACAATTTTTGAAGCGGGCGATGTTGACCAATATTTTGAAACTAACAATAAAGGTCTAGTCCAAATGCATGGATGGACACAATAGCAATTAATATGTTGGATGATGCATTAGTGATTGTCCAAATAGCATTAGTGTTAAGCTAATTTTGTTTCTATGTTTTCATGACAGTGAGAATTACTTTTGTGTTGTGTGATTTCGAATCGTGGATGAAAATTGATAGCATCATTTTCCTTTCATTGTATTAAATACATTGTAATTTTCGTTAGCGTGAAAATATTATCCTGACACTTTTTATTTTAAAGCGAAAAGTTAATTTTCGTGAAGTCTAAAAATGTTTTAATATGTCTTATGTCCAAATACAAGCAAATCTAGACAAATCCATAGATGTCTCAAATGTCTCCTAAACTCGTTTAGTCCAAAAATGTCTACAAAAGTCTGAGATTGAATACTCCCTAAGCAATGAGAGATTTCAACAAGTAGCAGCAAAACGTACTGATTTTCCAAAACTAAGACCAAAGATTAGCGTAAGACTCAAATATAACTGCATTGACCACAATACCCTTACTTTTAGGATATATCAGACATTAAATAGACAATAAGTAGACAATAAATAAACAATAAATTCTGATAAAATAATTTATTCAAATCCAAGTGTTATTTTTAGAAAATAAATAATTGATATTAATTAAAATGTTAGATTAAAAAAATTCCAAACACTAATTATTCAAGACTTGCATTTTCGGATCTATGTTTTCTGATTATAGATAGAAAACAAAAAGTTTAAAAATAAAGAAAATAGAGGAGGAAGGAGGCTAGAGCAGGAGGAAAAGAAAATGGAGATGAAGAACCAGATAGTGGCTATTATCTATTTGACTATGAAAAATCGACGAACAGACAAGGCGATGGAGGAGGCGAAACCGCCAAAGTGAAGTGGCCGTGGCGGACTAGAAACTGGGCGACGAAGATCAAGATAGTTGAGAGGAGATGTAAATTAGAGAAGATAGAAGTAAGGATCAGGAGAATTGGAGAAGAAAGATAATAGATGGAGAAGGAAGGAGTGAGAGTTGAGATGCGTGACAGAATTGAGAAATATGCAAACCCCAGAAATTATAAGGGTGATTTTCTTTCCAAATTATACCATATGGATTTTCTTGCGTGCAGGTATGTTTTGATTCTGGCTGGATTCATGACACCAGTATATCTCTGAAGTGTATCTTCACTCTTCTGAAGAAACTTTGATGGACACAATTGAGATTGCAAACTTTGAGCACTACTCCTCTAAGGCTCTAACCTGAAGGATTTTGAGCTTCTTGGAAGCTTGTTTATCCGACTGATGGGTGGATGAAACTTGGCAATAACTTTATTGCTGGAAATGTGAAGCATGCTTAGAGATTTGTTCTTCCAGAGCCAAAATGGGTGAGATATTTAAAATTGAATCTTCGTAGTCATTATGGTTCTGAGTTCTACTGTACGTTAAGTGTTCTTGAAGTGTATGGAGTTGATGCTATTGAGATAATGCTGGAGGATCTCATTACCGTTCCACATACGTTATTTTCATCTTATCAGACCACTGATGAAAGTCCCAATGGTAATCCAGAAACAGATTATGTGCTTGAAAGCTACGATAAAATCGCAGAAATAGGATGCCCGGTAGTAAGTCCCATAAACTCCTTTTCCATATCACTCTAATTAATACTACCTTCGTCCCATTTTATGTGCTCTGCTTTGGTTTGACACAATTATCAATAAATTGATTGAAAAGCAAAAGTTATGGTTCAACCCGAAAAGGAAAATAAGACAGGTAAAATGGGACGGAGAGAGATATTAAAACCGTACTTTCCCTTCCAGATCAGGGAGATGAATGATACGGTATCTTGGAAATCCTTCATTTCCATGCAGCTAGAGAGTATTATCAGGGACAACATTAATTTCAGGTTGATTTCATTTTGAAAGATTAAAAAAATTGCTTTTGAGCTTACTTTTTTCTTCGTATTCTAAGTAATGATCAGGTTTGCTTCACACTCCGACTATACTAACCAATAGGGGTACATACGGAGAGTAAATAAATTTTAATATTTATTGTGTGTGTGATATTTTGGGTTGTGGCAGTTGTCAAGATCTTCATAGACATAGCCTTCAACATTTTTAGGGCCTGAGAGTTGTGGGAAATTTTGTGCCAAGGAGTCATCTTGGGTTTTCCTAATGTTGAGTTGTATCACCACAATAACCATCATGTCCTTATAACTCATGTAATTTGTTATATGCATTCTTTCTGGCCTTCTGTGCATCTTCTCTTTAAGATCCCAACCTTCCACCTAACAACCCCCACCCATACTTGCACCTTATGCCTTCTTGTTTTCATGCTTTTCTGTCAATTCCAAATCTCCAATGGCGATTTGTAAACAATGGCTTTGCAACACTCTTGCACATTGCATGCACACTTGGAGTAGTTATATGATGTATGAATTTATAGATGCAGATTCTAATATATATATATATAACTCGTCCACTATTTTTCTTATCAATTGCTTCTGACGGCAAAATAACTAAATATGTTGATAGTGTCTAGAAACAATGCGGTTGATAAGGACTGAAAAAGAAAAAAAGATATTACCAATTTGGGATAGAAAACAAATAGGGGTGAGTTTTTCGGTAATCTACCTTCACAGAATCACAGTTCATTAATGGAGAAAACAAATAAAATACCCTCAACTTTGAGCTCCCCACCTATACTTGTTTCTCCCACTTTATTTAATTGAATTGTTAGTACCTCATCATTCAATTAACAAGAAATATTCCTGACCTAATCTCTCTTGAGTAGATCCAGTTGGTGAAACAAATTCCACGTTAGCAAAATTCTCAAAATAACAAGTGAGAATCCCATGTTTACCCTCCTAGGAAACACTCTCTCCCTCGTCTAATGTTTACGCCTATGTCCTTACTCCCACTTCACCAGGTAAGAAAAAACCCTACTTTCCAGCGATGGCCATGAATGAAGTAGTGACGAAAATCGACTATAGCTCAAGATGGTGCCAAATTTCACATAGCAGAAGTTCAACATTAGGGATTGGAGGATCAAGAGATTCTATTGTAAATATAAAGTGGTGTTATCACAAGCTCCCTATGCATTTAGGAGGGACTTAATTGTTTATATTTGTTTCATTTACCTATTCTATATGTTAAATTTTATAGGTCAATGATTGTCTCTATTTTGAGTGGTTTGGCAAAGACAATTACTGCCTCCATGCTATAGAAGTTATCGATGGTTTGAAGAGGAAGAATGATGAACTTAATGAGGAAGTGAAATAATTAAAGTTTGGCAGTGAACAAAAATTTGTGACTGTGGAAAATTGGCAAATGGAGAAACTTGGGATGAATGCTTAAGTTATATGCGGCTGAAATGGAAAGAGGAGAAAAAACTGATAGAGATGAACAAGAAAAAAGTCAAAGAGATGAAGAAGGCAATGAAGACTGCACTGCTGGAATTGCAAACTGAATTGAGTTGGAGAAGACACAAAAAACTTATGTATCAGAGATAGAGATTGAAAGTGTAGTAGCTAGATTTGTAGTGGTTGGATTTGTTTTAGTTTGTATATTTGTGTTTAGTTGGCTCAGTTATTGTAACAGTCAAGGATCTTCACATTTGCTAAAAGACAAGGTATTTACATTCTGGAAAATTATAGTACCCAAGTATCTTCATATTTGTCAAGTAAAGTGCTTTGGTTCTGATTTTGGGAAATGTTAACAAAAAACTGAAATGCATTGTTTCTGATTCTGAAAATGTTAAATCTGGTTTTAAATCTGCCATTTAAAACCTGTCATCCAAAGATCTCACATTTGTTAATAGGAAAGTAAAGTGCATTTGCCAACATATATAATGGAATTGTATATGATGCAGCGGCCCGAGTCCATCCCTAGGTACAGCTATCTCAACTTCAACATTGTGGGGTATTACTTTAATATGGACAAGTATGGAGTGGGGACCTCACACTTGTTAACTTGGGGGTATTATATTTATTTCCCCTTTATTAATTGTCTTTCCATTCTGGCGATTCATTAAGAATAACCAATACTTTTATACGCTTTTTATTGGGTCAATGATAACCTGTAACCAATCTCATCACTCCTGCCATTCAAACTCCAGATAATCATCACCACACCACCAAATGTTCCACCAATAAAACAGAATTCTGGCACCATCGCATACCCCCCCTGCCCCTTTCAGTATGCTTTCGAAGCCAGACATGTTTATCATTTCGAATACAAAACCATATCAGTTGCTTGGTAGGATAGGGGAAAAAATTGCTGAATCAAAAATTTATAAATGAAATTAGAAGCTTGCTCTTTGTGAAATCCAAAATGTCATTACATAGATTTTGATCACAGCTAATTTTGGTGATACAGACACATGATACATGTTTTAAACAACTCAACGTACAAGAACTCTTCTACCCTTTTTATTTTCTTCACAAGTACACTACACATTACCTTAAATCTATTTATTGTCAGAACCATTTTCGACACCGAGACCATACAGAACACCAGCATACTTTTCTGTCGAGCCACTAAAGAAGTTTTCTTTTAACTTTTTGAATGCGGAAGAGGTGAGCAGGCTATCTGAACCGGCTTGATGGCAGATACCAATTCTCTCAACTTCCAAGAGCTCTGCGAGTTTGTTCAGCCCGCCATGGAGGCTATTGCAGAACTTCATCAAGTGCTTAATGTCATAAACCATTGGAAAGTACACATTCAGCAAGTCAAAAAACCCAGCTTGTGTATCAGGCAAATTCTTGCAGGTTAATAGTTTTAGCAGGTAACCAAAGTCATAACCACTATGGAATGTCACCCACTGCACATTGTCATTCAAGACAATACCAGATGACATTAGCAGTTCACCAAAGCGGCTTGCATCAATCCCCATTTCATTGTTCTTCTTCAAATCAATGCCAGATTGGCTCAACAGGTCAATAGAGTCATTTGCAAATATATCCTTACTCATGTCGAACTCGCGAAAGTTAAACTGCCAAATGCAATACTGGTCTGTTCCACATGTAGGCAAGTTACCATTATCATCTGAAAATGTGAGACCTAATTGAATCAACTTCAACATATCAACATTATCCTTCAACGTCTGATAGTTATACTCGCTAAGATTTTTGAAGTTGCCAACAGGCCGAAGAACCACCCCAGGAAATTCAGTGTCCATGGCAATAAAGGGATAATCATCAACAACTTCACGGATGAGAGCAAACTCTTTTTCAAGATTATCACTCCATACTTCTCTAATTTGGATAGACTCGTTTTTTAGTAAGACAGACATGATTACATCAAGCACGAAATGAGAGCTTTGTCAGTGAATCAACTGTTGTGGCTTATTTATTTAAATAGATCTGTAAAATCAGCAAAAAAATAAATAAACATCACCAACAGAGACATGACATCCATGATGCAACAAAGTATGGTAATTTATAGAAGATGCTAGAAACTGATTGTTGCCATATTTTCTGGATAGCTAACAAAAAATGAGTCATAATTTGATATATCATGTGTATGGTAGTCATGGAGAGCAGTTTACAAATGCAAGTGAATATATTTACAAACCATCATTCAGGTAAATCTTCGTAAAGGTAGTTTTATCTTAATATTAAGGACTGCATTGGAAAATCAAAGTTTATTTCATTTAAAGGAGTAGTGTCTTGGTGGGGTTATGGCTTGAAACTAATAATGTCTTAATTAACTAGTTAGTTATCACTATAAATTCATGCAAAAGAACAGAAATGTTTACGACAGATTCCCTTCTTGTCACAACCTTTTATGAAGGAAAAATAAGAAATTTCCAAAGCCATCGTCGTCGTCATCATCATCACTGGTTTTTTACTTGCTTATTGCACGAAAATTTATGCAACAGCATGACACAAAATTGTGATTATCACATCCCATTATAACATTGATATAATAAACACAACATGCACAATTGCACGTCATATAACTGATATGGAAAGAAGAAGCCCATTATTACTATCACTATTGTTATTATTATTCTATTATTATTAGTTTCCTAAAGTAAGTTTCCTAAAGTACTAGGTGTTAGTTTCCTAAGGTTATTATTAGTTGCAGTTTCCTATTAGTAGAGATTCTATTTTAGTTAATTTCCTAATGAATGTATTGTAATAGAATTAGGATTACTCCAACACTAGACCACAAAGACTCTTGGGACTAGTATAAATAGAGGTGCCATATTAATGAATACAATCGTCAATCTTCTGGAGAACAGTTCTTCTTGTGCGCTTGGTGGAACCGATGGACACTTCCTTGCCTAGGGCGGGAAGCTGTGTTGTTTTCCCAACTATCATACTGATCATTCTTCTTCTTTTTTTATCTCCCAACCACACCCGTAAAAGTAACATGATAAAGCATCATCCTCTTAAGCTTCAAGTGATCAATTTTCTTTGTACATATAATTGAATAACAGAAACAAATAAGGGGAACATGGAGGTATATATGAGATCCTATCATTGTTCTATACATTCATAACCCACTCTAGTGAGTCCATCATCATCTCTCAACAATATTTAAGCATTTCAATTTACAACTTAATATATCACAGAATTTAATAAAATAACTAACCATGTAAGATGCAAACAAAAATTAGGAGGCAAGTGCATTGCAGATCATGCAGTGTTTATTTTCGACCACTGCATCATTTTGTCTATGTTACAGCAAGAGTTTTGCATTTATTAGTGAAGTCCAAAAGGCCAATATAGCCAGCCTGTCACATCACAACAACAAACACAATGCAATCATCATGAACCACAACTTAAATACAAATGGGCATCATTAGAAAATGCCTGTCCGGATATTAATCCATGGAAACCAGCCACACGTCAACAAGTATTACAATTGCAAAACTGAAAATACACCAAAGAGGTAATGATTCAAATAAAACAAAAAACCATCAGTATACCATTCTAAGGCAGAGTGACACATTTAACAAATCTTTACAGGAGCAAACGTGAAATATCAAGCACCTCTAAAGTGAAAACATAACTAGCTTAGCAAAGAACTCATCGTATCTAAATTCTAGATACCAACCGCAAAGATAACACTTTGCACAATTATAATGGGAGATTAAAATTCACCACTGTAGTTGGATTCAAAAGGCTTCTCTGATGATTCAAGTCCGAGTCTTGTTCATGTAGCCATGGTTCAACTGAACACTCAAGGGTTTTGATTAAAATCATTAAATAGGACTGTTTGTTTAAGTTCCAACAAATCAGCTTTAACATGTCAACCTATTTGATAGTTAGATTGTTTATAGAACTATTCAATACTCCGTATTACAATATGCTCCCATGGTACACCGCGGAAGAAATAATAATACACAACTTATTTTGACATCTTAACATCATAATAGGCATTCACATTTCTCAAGATTTTTTCACTTTAAAGCCTAACGCTACCTAAAAAAACTATTAAAAATCAATAGCCATGAGTTAGAACTATTCCTTAGCATGTCTAGCTTCCAGCTAGCAAATAAGTTTACCAGTCAAGTGCATTCGAATAAGAACTTTCAGAAAGAAAGAAAAGCTAAAACAAAACAAACAAAGAAAACCATAAGCTAGAATCAAATCGAGTCCTAATTATCAGATCAAGCACCACTAAAGCTCATAGTTGAATCGATCTAAGATCAGTTATATCAACAAAGACTTAGGCTTCACTAATCATCGAACTCAAATAGTCGACTATGGACAGAAAACAAACACTGTCAGTTTTGAGAGGTTAAATAATCTATTTTGCATAAGTAGAAAAGAGACAAGTGCATAAATCTGTAAGGGAAACCCTAATAGGAAAAATCGAAGAATTTACTGATTTTCAATACAGAGAATGATAGAGTAATATTATATGGAAAGAGACAAACCTGATCTGAGAGTGTCGGAAATGTCAATTTAAGAGAGATAGAGTTTAGTGTGAGGAAGACGAAGAAGAGAACGAAAAGAAAGAAGCGAGTGAGATGCAAAGACACAGAACGACAGCGCCTCCTTTTCTTTTCATTTTACTTTTCCGGTTGTTCCTCGAAAAAGAGAGCTTCGAATAGGCCATCCGTTTCGGGCAGGGCCAGCTTGTTCTAAATTATAGCGAACGAATTTTTCATGAAAAAAATTACACAAATATTTCTACTTTAAACCTAACTAATAAAAATATGACTACACGTTAAAATGAGTTTATTAACCGCCTACATTACTAAAAAACTGTCGTACTTATTTGTAGTTAGTGAATAGCGATAGTGATAATGTATGTTAATATATATATCGTTAGCCACCTGTCATACAAGAAAATCAGGAATAATAGAAAAAACTCTACCCTGATTTGAGAGGGATACATGCGTCCTAGCAATCATATGGGTTGTACGATTCGCAGATCGCCTACAAAAAGAGATCTTAAAATTACTCTTTGTTTGAAGCAGCATCCATATATCATCAATAACTAAATCCGTGTATGAGTTTCCTTCCCCTTTCTTAATGCCTTGCACTACCACTTGAGCATCTGATTCAATTACAACCTCTGACCACCTTTCTTTAGTTGCTCCCAAAATAGCCTCTCTAATTCCCATAGCTTCCGTTTCAGCAGGAGGCCAACCTGCTCTTCTTGATTCCCCAACTGCCTTAATAAACTCTTCTTGCTCATCCCTAGCCATCCAGTCCTAAGCTCTAATCTCGTCCGTCTGATTGACCGCACCATCAACATTTATCTTGATAATTCCTCGACTGGATCTCTGCCAGCTCATCCCCGCATCTTGTCCCTGTTGCGTCGTCTTTGAGTCCCGCTGATGCGCCTCTCGCCAAGCAACCAACATACTTGTCACCACACTGAAAACTGTTGTCGTCCCCTACCATGTATCTTTCGACACAAAACTGTTTCGCCTCTTCCAAGTGCTCTACAACAGCATTATAAATTTACTTCTTTTCTCCTTGCACGGCAAACCAGTTTGAGATTGTACCTAGGTCTCCACAGTGTCCGTGTGAGAGACAATCTCCACTCCTGACGCTTGCCAAACTTCCCGAACCTTCTCACGGGATCTAATAGCATGATCTGTTGTCTCTGTTTCCTCTCCACACAACTTGCACTCTGTTTGAAGTTCTACTTCCCTTCTAGATAAATTATCAAGGGAAGGAAGAGACCCATCCAAGATTTTCCACGCCAAATACTTCATCTTCGGGGGTATGTCAAGATCCCACAAAGTTGACCATCCATTCCAGCGTGCCGTAATCGACCAATCTGCTACTTTCCGATAACAGCTCTTCACCGAAAAACATGCATTCTTCTCTCTTGTCCACCAATAGCCATCCTCTCGATCCTACAAGTTAACAGGAATGCTCAAAATTAAACCATTATCAGTCTTATCAAAAGTGGACCCAATTTTCTCCCTATTCCAATTCTTCCCGGTAAAATCCCCCAGTGTCGCAACATTCATGTCCCGGATACCCGCCGGTCTACTCGACTGAAACCTGCTCGTGCCCTGCCCAGAAAGCCAAACATCTGCCCAGACTTGAATATCCTTTCCATTGCCCACTCTGCGTCTAACATTTTTTTAGATTTCTTGGGTCTCAAATATACTCCTCCAAATAAAAGATGGTTTATTTTCTAGTCTAGCTTTAAAAAAACTAGTGTCACGAAAATATGTTGCCTTTAGAACCCTCACATAAGACTCCCTGTATCTGTTATTAAACTCCATTACTGCTTAGCCAACATTGCCAAATTAAATTCTTTTAATTTTCTAAATCCCAAACCCCCTGCTCCTTTTGGTTTACATAAGAGATCCCATCTCCTCCACCTAAGACCTTTTTGGTCAAATTTTGATCCTTTCCACCAAAAACAATTCATTAGCTTCTCAATTTCATCACATAATTCTCGTGGCAGTAAGAAAACATTTATAGTTACTAACTTAAAACGATAATGTTGTTAATTTTATTTGGCTCTTGGTTAATGACTTAAGCATCGGAAGGCCGTTGGTTAATGTACTTTGATATCTATATGAAACCATTGGTGTAATCTTTATTCATCCTTTATAAATTAATTAAATGATTGATGATAACAATATTCCTAAAGGAATTGCAAATATCAAAAGTATTACTAACACAAAGTAACGTGATTTGAGTTTTATCGATGATGAGTTTCCCCTTACCTCATTGATATTTTCTTAATGAGTATATATTTATTAGGAAAGAGACCATGATGTTATGTATAAAATACTTTGATAAAAGTATATATCAAGTAAATGTTGGAATCTCATTGATGTGTTTCACTCAGGGGGAGTCCTTACATACTTATTTATCATCAAGTATATTGGTTTGTTGTACTCTTTTTCCCTTTTGACCAAGGTTTATTTTTCTCATTGGGTTTTGTTACTTGGTAAGGTTTTTAATGAGACAACATAATATGCACAATCCCACATTTTAATTTTGCGAAAGTAAAACAATGTTGAAGAAAGAACATAATTACTATATTGCAGCCAAAAGTAATGGAAAAATGGGCAAATAAGCTCACGTACTAACCAAAAAAGGTCAAATAAGCCTTATATAGGAGATTATGTCCGGCCGCCGCCATTTGGGGCAGTTCCCGGTGGAATTTTTTGATGATTTTTTTAGAATCTTATTCATTAAGTCTAGTTTAATCATACCAAATTTCAGCTAAAACTTCAATGGGGAAGGCATTGAAATGAATTTTTGAAGATAACTGCGCAGTTAACTTCAAGAATTTATTTGAATGCCTTCCCCATTGAATTGTTAGCTGAAATTTGTTATGAGTAAGCTAGACTTAATGAATAAGATTCTCAAAGAATTTCATCAATAAATTCCACCGGGAGCTGCCCCAAATGACGACGGCTGGACAGAGTCTTCTATATAAGGGTTTATTTGACCTTTTTTGGTTAGTACATGGGTTTATTTGGCCCTTTTTCCAAAAGTAATTGACGCGTAGTTATTAGTGCATCATACTTCCTTTTTCATTTGACCGATGTTTATTTTTTCCCATTGGTTTTTGTTCATTGGCAAGGTTTTAGTAAGTTAATTATTTTTACAGTTATCACCTTACGCTCGGCACACAGGGTGAGAATTAAAGGAATTATATTCCTCTATTTGTGTGCCTTCGCTAAGGTAATTAATGTGACAAGTTTGAAATGCACATATTTTGCAAACATCCTTGATTAATGTAGATATCAAGGGTAGATGTAGGCGTGAGGGGAAGTACCCCAACTAGATTACGTTACACTATTCTCCTTTACCCAAGTTTTATTTTTTCTCATTGAGTTTTGTTACTTGGTAAGATTTTTAATGAGGTAACGACACATATAAACTTTAATGATCAAAGCAAAGATCAAATAAAGATAGACCTAATGGAAGAAGCCTATCTTGATGCTATACTCTTTTTCTCCAGTCAAGGTTATTTTTTCCCATAGGATTTTTGTTACTTGACAGAGTTTTGACGATGCAACAGGAATGATACGAAATATTATCTACAAGGGAGAGTGTTGAAGGAAATTCTATGTAGTGTGCTATCGTGTATATAGAATATGTATTAGGGTCTTTCTATGTAAATTATGTATTATGGGCCTATCGGCCCGTACTTGTAAACCCTAATTTATCCCTATTTATAGGAACGTTCGATAATGAAACTATACACACAATTCTTCCTACAAGAGATACATACCATTCGAATTATTTCTCAAGTAAACAAATTATTACTACATTCTTAGCCGATAAATGGGCCTTTAGAAGTCATCACAATGGGCCTTCAGAATTGATAGCCTCATTTATTTAGATCAACACAATCTTTGTATTCTAAATTTTTGTTTCAACTATTGTATTAAATTTTGTGTATCCCAACAGTTGTATTTAAGTTTGAGCATCACAACACTTATTGTAATTTTTTTCTTTCAGTTTTTCATAATATACTAAAATTAATTTCTAATAATTATTTAAATGCAATTATAATCTCTAATAATTAATTCTTAACATGTTTATGCATCACATTCACACACTGAATTTGCTATATTTGGTTGTACATTCTAATATATTATTAAATCTATTTTGGTAATAATTTAAATGTAAATATAAAATAGATAAAAAGCTATTTTTAGTAATATACTAAGTAGTAAAATTAATGTTTATAATGGAGTTGTCTTTATTAATCCCTTCTACCATCCTACACTATCGTTCATCCAGGTGGCTGCTCTATGACCAGTTCGTATACCGTGGGATCATCCCATGGTGACCATCATGCACCATCCCCAAAACGACGTAGTTTTGCACAATTTTTTTTTTAAAAAAATCGCGTGAATAGTACACGCGTGTACAATAATTGTTTTTTTTTTCTTTTTGTCCAGGTAGCATGAATGATGTAACTTGCGTGTAAATAAATGTAACCCACACTGATAAAAAATGTAACTGCAGGCAAGTCTAAATGTAACTTGTCTAAATTGCTCAATTACTTTACGTAAATAGTGAATACGTTTTGTTTTTAATATTAAGACCATAAATAATGTTTTTTTTCTTAAAATTGTTTATTTTGGCAAAAATCATTTTTTTGCCAAAAAAATCTTTGTTTTTTGCAAAAAAAGTGATTGTTTTGTTTCAATAGCAGGGAATTACTTAAATAGTGAATATGTTCCAATTTTTATATCAAGGCCATAAAAATATTTTTTAAAAAATCACTTTTTTTGCCTAAGAAATCTTTTTTATTTTTACAAAAAAAAAATTATATTTTTGCATAAATCTGATTCTTTTGTTTGAATAGCAGGGCTTTATGATGTGATGTAACTCATGTTATAGAAAATGTAACTCACCTTGATGGAAAATCTAATTTAGGTGTATGCAAAATATAATTTGTTAAGACAAGTCTAAATGTAACTCGTGTATAAGAAGATGTAACTCACACATAAAAATATGTAACTCGCGCATAAGAAGATGTAAATCAATATACTATCAAATGTAAAGAATGAAAAGGAGTCTAATTGCTCAAATTAATTTACATAAATAGTTAATATGTTTTGATTTTAGTATTAAGGCCATAAAATGCTTCAAAGAAAAATATATTTTTTGCCAAAAAAAATCATTTTTGTTTGCAAAAAATTGATTTTTTTTTGTTTCAATAGTTGCGGTTTATTTTGTGATGTAATACATGTTATCAAAAAGTGTAACTCGCATTGATGGAAGATCTAACTTAGGTGTATGCAAAATTTAACTTGTTGAGGCAAGTCCAAATGTAACTCGCGCATATGAATATGTAACTCATTCACAAGAAAATGTAACTCGCTCAAAGAAGATGTAACTCCATATACTATCAAATGTAATTCCACAAATTGTCTACAAACATAATTCAAGAGATAAAAAAATTGCAAAGAGAATAAATTTATTATAGAAAAACTTTATGAATATGAAATATAAAAAATATTACAGAAAAAATATATTCTATTGTAATTTCAATTGAAGATAAAAAAAAAGTAGAAAGCATGTATGACTATGAAATACAATATACTTATTTTATGTGGATTAGTAAAATTTTGTAATAATTTGATAATGAAAAAAATGTAAATTCATTTATATTTTAATTAGTTAAAGATAAAGATAAGTAAAATCACAAAATAATTTTTAGTATTTTGATGTATAAGAGAAAAGAATTGAAGAAAATAGAAAAGAAAAATAAAGAGAAAGAAAGTACTAACCTCGAAGAAAAAGAGAGAAGGCTTCCGTAATATTGCACATTTGGACCGTTTAAAGCATGGGGAGAGCAAAAAACGGCACCGTATTAGAACCGACATACCATGCCCATGGTATGCCGGTTGCACGTTATAATTTGCGCTCTATGATCGCAAGTTATATCCTACATCCGGGTGTACATGTACACCCGGTACTTTTGTAATTAGAAGCAAGTTGGAGGATAATTATTAGGCTGAAGTGCTGAGCTACTTTCTTTTTCTGCCGCTGCTCCACTTAGTTCACCCTTATTTCGCAAGTCTCCTTTCTTTTCTTTTCTTTTGTTTCTTCTTCTTTTTATTTTTGTTTTTTTGTTTGTTCTCCTTTCTTTTTTTTAGCAACCTTTGTTATATTCAATTATTATGAATTTATATAATATAAAATATTATTAAATGTTTCAGTTTATTTTTTAGATTCATGTAGGAGTTGATTATAGATATATGAGCACAGAACATGACACTCAATTGTATGTATTCAATACTCAATAGAGGAGGTTTGATGCAGAATAAAAATGTATTGAAGTTCAACTAAAAAACTTATGATTTTCATATCAATACTGATTTTGTAAGTTACATTTGTTTAATTTGTACTCATATTATGCTCATTTTTAAAATATGATATTCATGCAAATTTTAAAAGTTACGTATGACATTATATTAACATTGGAATTGTTAGGTTCCTAATACTCAACCGAATAAGTCTGATGCTCAATGAAAGTGTTTTGATGCTCATAATAGGTCCGATGCACATTAAAAGTTTATTGCTCATTTAACAAATATTGTGATTTTCATCCCAATATAGGAGGTTTTACCCTAATATATTTTGAGACTAAGGCTTGGATGTTGTTGTTGTTGTTGTATAGGAGGTTTGATGCTCAATGAAAATGTCGTTATGTCAAACTAACAAACCATACAATTTTCATATCAATTAGGGGTGGGCATAAAACCCGAACCGAACCGGTACCGAACCGTCCCGTAATGGTACCGAACCGAATACCGAGTATTTAAACGGTTCTATAGATTTTTACCCCGTACCGAAACCGTACCGTTTGAAACGGGTACGGGACCGGTCCTAGATTTTGAGAACCGAAAATACCGGACCGAACCGTTCGTAAATAATGCATTTGAATTTTTTATATTCTTTCTATATCAATAGATCTAGACCAACAATTTTATACCCCAAGTATGTATTCATGTGTCTCTAAGATATCTAAAATGTGTTTTTATATATATATATTGTTAGTTTTTCTTTTTAGATAATTTATGTTATATATTTTTGTATGTATTGAAAGAATATTAAAATTTTAGAATCATTAATGATTATTTATTTCTAGTAATGACTTTTTGTTGTATCATGTTTGTACATTTTTTACAAATTAATTAATATGGTTTAAATCTTAGCTCTCAAGATTCAACTATAAATTAAATTAGAACTACGAAGTAATATTTAACCTAGAATGAAGAAGAAGAATGTTGAAGACTTCTATTATATTCAACAATTTGATGATATTCGTTTTTATATTTTCACATGAACTTAGTAAATTAAAAATGATATTTATCTCGTGCATCATCGTTTTGCTATACTTTTTCTTAGTTGTGTTGCACTATTTGTGTATTTGTGAATTTTAGTACTATGTATGCAATTTCTTTTATTTATTTCAACATTTCATGTGAGTCGGTTGGTGTGATGATATCTACTAATTGCAAGATTTGTTCAAAAATTTTAGCATGTGTTTGGCATTGTACCGTACCGTTTTATACCGTTCCGAAACGACATGGTACCGAACGGTTCTATCCTTGGAACCGGACCGTTAAAAACATCACAGATACATTACAGGTTTTACCAATTTACCGGACCGTTCCGGACCGCGCCCACCCCTAATATCAATGAACATTTTGTAAGTTGTGTATGTCATCTGATACTGATCTTATGATCATTTTCTAAATGTCATATCAATACATTTTTTCAAAGTACTATTTTATATTAATTCACATATTGAAATTCATAGGAATTGATTATAAATATAATTTAATAAGATTTTATAAAAAAAATAACACAAAAAAGTGAATTAGAAGTTATAAAGCAGAGATTACGATTCTCAATATTAGACTCCTTATACGCAACAAAATTGGTATGATGCTCATTAAAGGTTCATTAATGGTCATTCACTATAAACCCTGAATTTCATCTCAATAACGGATGTTTGATGCTCAATTAAAATGTCGTGATGCTCAACTAACAAACCTTACGCTTTTCATATCAATGTGCACTTCGTAAGTTATGTATACTCATTTGGTACTGATGTTATGCTCATTTTTAAAATGTCATATCAATGCATATTTCAAAAGTATCATATTAATTAGACTCGCATATTGAAATTAATAGGAGTGGATTATAGATATAATTTAATAAGTTTTTATAAAACAAAAAAGTAAGAAAAAGAAAAAAAATAGAAGATATGAAACAGAGATTGTGATACTCATTGTTAGCATCATAATACTCAACACAATAGGTCAGATGCTCACTAAAAGCACAATATTGCTCATTTAGCGGGAGACGTGATTTTTCTCTAAAATTACCAAAATGACACCTGAAAAAATTAGGCTATTTTTATTAAATGGACTGTCTTTCTTAATTAGGCCATTTTTTATTGACACCCGTACACTCAGTGTACTATATACGGACTGCTCTATGAGTGACTTGTTTGTCATTGATCCCTCGTAATACTGAATAACGGAAGGTGCCGTTATTACATATGGAAATAACGAGCACTTTAATAAGTGATTCAATGAGGAGCTATTCCGTTATTACATATGCTTTCTTAAATAAGAACAACTATCAACCTTTCACGCATTACGAGATACAACTTTAACCATTAGTATATACAAAATTTTGTTACTAATACAAAATCATTTATATTAATGGTCAAAGTTGTGTCTCAAGAAGTGTGGAAGGTTGATGGTTACATTTATTTAAGAACTTGAGTAAGTATTTATGGTGTATGGTGATAGAAGTAGATGGGCGGATAAAGCTTAATTTATTCTCAGGAATTTTTACATAAACATATCTGATGATGAACGGATCGGACGCGTTGCGGCCATGACATAGGCCGGCCGCCACTTTTATTATATTTTGCAATACACCGATGATTTATTTTTTCAGTCCGTGGAAACAGGCCGGAATAGATTACATACGATGGAATTAAGGAGCGGCGGTGGAGGCTGCGGCGGCATCAGTGGGCTCGGCATCATCTTGGCCGTCGTCATCGACGTACTTGGAGTCCAGAGACGAGGGCAGCGGCTCAGTGTCGGCGATCAATTGGGTGAGACCATCCAAGCTCACCCTTGCCACTAGTTGCGGCGAACTGCCCGCGCCCAATGCCATACTGGACAAGCATCCGTTCCAAACTCTGGTGTGATTGGTGAGGTTCCTTTCCATCGCATTATCTATGGTATTCCAGTTCACCGAATTGAACCCTCCCGACAGACGGATCTCAGTATAAACTCGGTTCTGGAAGTGACGGCGAGGCGTGTTCCAAGCAAGCAACCAATCACAAGCAACTCCGGCGTGGTTTAAGCCGGAGAAGATGAGGGCGGCTTTGGAAGGGCCCATGAGGCGGTCGCGGACGTGGAGGAAGGCGCCCCACTGGCCGTTCTGGATGAGGTGGGGGACCGGGTACCGCCACACGCTGCCTTCCCAAGAGTGGTAGCGGACGAAGGAGAGGTCGCCGCCGGTGGCGTTGAAGAAGGTGACCAGGGTGGTGGTTCCGGTGCCGTAAGCGTCCTTGAGGTTGTGGACGTAGGTGCTGGCGTTGTCCGCCCTGTTGTTGGCGTTCATGTCTCGGAGCGCCACCTGCGCTCTCAGCGTCGCCGTTATTTCTTCAGGCCGCAGGTTTGGGAACACTAGCCGAACCGACGCGTCTGTCACTGGCGTTCCGAACACGTTGGTTGCCATGATTGATCGCCAGCAACACTTCGATCTGGACTGCTTTAGATTAATCCTATCTCTCGATGATGAACGATTAAATTATATGTGGTTCTGATAATAATGCACACCACCATCTCCTCAATTTATAGACCTGGCCGCACGCATTCATTAATTGCACCCGTATCATTTAATACTTTCTCTCTTAAAACTTTCTACTAAAACTTTTTTTACTTTATTAATTCTTTTTTGCAGTCAAACCAATAACAAATAACTGTATTGTGACACGGAAATTAGTAAAGTACAAAAAGTTTGACCACAATGGAGTTGCTCGTGATTGGTCAAACTTACACACTAAACCTTTTTTTACTTTATTAATTCTCATGCTGATTAAACTTGACAAAATTCTAAGAGATGAGAAATAATATTTTAATCACATTCCATCCTTTCAAATTTGAGTAGATTTGATCGTGTAACTAATAAATCTGTGCATTTTAAGGATTTTATCATCAGAATGTTTTTTCTTCGACAGATGAATCCGCGCCAGCGAATTTACGCCCTGAAAGTGTACTTTCCGATAGCAAAATCCTTGAATTGCAAATATTTATCACTTACATGATCAAACAACAAGTGAGTAAAGTACACTAATGACGGGTATAGCCACAAGTTACAGAATTAAATTACGCACCACCAACTCAATAGAACTCAATAGAAGATTTCAATTTCACTTTTTACAAAATGTTTCAGTCACTATTACGTCACTCGATGATGAAATGAATGAAACAAGATTAGCAAGATTAAGCAAATTAAATTACTTAACATCATGGTAATTGTGATTCATGTCTCTCACCTAAAATGACCAATAAATCTTTTCTTAGAAAAGTATTGGGAATATTTTATGGTGTCCAATCTATTTAAATATTTTTGTATTTGTGTAGTTATTTATTAAATGTGAAATATGAGCCACAAGTGTATATCAGCTCTTTAGCTTCTTTGTAACCAATAAGTTAGCCAACTTTCCCTATAAAAGGAAGTTAACTTATGGAAAACATAAGACTTGAGAGTATAGAGGCGAGATAGAGAGATTAGGTTTTACGCTGCTCTCTCTCTCTCTCTCTCTCTCTCTCTCTCTCTCTCGAGGGAGAGCAGCGGCAGTTCACGGTATACCAGATTTGTTTATCATCTCGATATCTTTCTATCTATCTCTTCTTCACTCTTATGATTGTTTGATTGTTAGAAAATGAGTCTAACATGTGGTATCAGAGCCAAGGCGTGAAAAAGGTTGAATCATTTGCGATATTTCGGATCTAACAAAGAACTGCTCTGTTTTTCTTCTGTTTTTTTTGTTTTAGAGATTTAGCTCCTGTAACCTTGTTTGTGAGCGATAATCTGTAAAAGTTATACTGTTGGAATCGCCTTTCCTCAAGGATTCAACAATCGTTTTAGAGATATATCTTATTTTTCGATTTTGATAATTTTATATTTTAGAAGATATCTATATTAAAATAGGGTGATTTCCCAAAATAGGAGTAAATGAAGTTTGGAATTCCAAAATAGGACTACTTATTTTTATTCCCAAAATAGGACTAACATGTCAGTATTTACTGTCATCTCGTAAACGAGACTGCCAAATAGTTCAGTACATTGCATTTTATATGGTAGTATATATTATAATTAATGACAGTAATTTTCAATAATGTCAGTATTTTTCATACATGGCAGTAACAACTCCTATTTCGGGAAGAAAAACATAATATTCCTATTTTGGAATTTTAAACCTCATTTACTCCTATTTAGGGTAATTTCCCATTGAAATATCGAAATCTCAGGTTCTCGAGGTTATAGGAGGGTTTTTGACTTGAATTTCATACAAGAAGAATCTCGAGATCAAGGACTTCTCAGAACATGGCTTAAAATTGAAAATCTCTGTTAGTCCCTGTTTTCTATAACAACAATATGAAACGATCTATCAAGGAGCAAAATAGCAGAAAGATGAACAGGATGAAACACTTCTTTGATAATCCGTGAACTTGTACAGAGAATGATATGCGCTAAGGCTATTTTGATCGAGTACGAAAGTTAACGCAAACCTAAACCTAAAGCGCCTTTTTATATGCGCGGGTAAAAGGTTTGCGTAAAGGCTTTCAGCCTGATATGGGCCTGACACATTGGCCCCATATCTTTTATACCCTAATAAATACAAACATTAATAACAAAGGATATAATAAAAGCTAAACTATTACAAGACATATGAAAAGCTTGATTCACAATAAAATGATCTTCAACAATCTCTCCCTTTGTGATCAAGTGTCGTCTTGCTTTTATCTCTGAGCTCTGAAGTAATGCTTTCTTATGTTCAGTGCATGCTCATACTGTCTCAAAGCTCTTCTCTTATCCAGTTGTTTGATGATGGGCTGCAGTATTGTTTCCAGACTGTCAAACTTTTCTAGCTCCTCATCAGTCGCATCAGCAAGTCTTTTTTCAAGATCTTCTTTGAGAGGCAACATCTTTTGTTGGATGACTTTTAAAGTCCCATCACAGTATTTGTGTATGTCCTCTACCCACATCAGACGCTTTTGCTCTTTATGGTTGAGATATAGAATTGAGAGCGGATCCTTAAAAATGTGGTAGGGTTCATATTCCTCAAGCTCTTCTCCATACAGAATCATTCTAGTGAGATTTGCCTTCCGAACATTGTTCTCGAGCGCCATTTGTAGATCATTGGCGGAGTGGAATCTGATTTGTCTTAGCATAAATCGCTTGATCGCCTCAAATCCTTCACTGTAGACTCTATTTCGATTCAATGGAAGAAATCTGCATACCATGAACATCTGGTAGATGTCATCCATTTTCATCATAATAAAGTCGTTCTCCTGGCAGATATATATGCTTGAGTCAGTGCGTTGGAACTTGAAGCTATAGAAAGGCACAAAGTGGTGATCTTCTTTGTGAATATCGAGAATGTTGCTGATCGGATGAATGCTAGACCTCATGTCTTGTTCAAGAATCTCTCGCTGTCATGTATCACCGCATCCTCCAGCGCGTCATGAATATCTTTGTTTGGAGGAATGTATGGGACTCTTTGCTGCTGTCGGAGCGGTGATGTTGCTAGAGAAGCACTACCGGGTTCACTTGGATTGCCCATTGTCATCGGCTTTGTACTGGGTTCTGGCTGATGGCCTGACCTAAGTGATGTACCAGAGGTAACATCGTCAGGACTTCCATCCCCTCCTCGGACAGTATCTCTTGGAGATAAGCCTCGGGATGTTCCAACTAGCTCGACCGTGCTAGTGAGTTGGGCTTGGTTCTGGCTAGAGGTGGGTGGCGGTTGATTGGTTGGTGGTGGAGATTGAGTTGGTTGTGGGGCGTGGCTGGTTGAAGCACCTTGCTCATGTGTACGGGGCCGCTTGTTCTCCCCCTCATGAGGTTCCGAATCGTCGGGGTCCTCATGGAAATGTTTTTGGTCCCGGGGACTGTCAGGGCAAGTGCTCGGCTGTGGGCGGTTATGTTTATAAAAGACCGCCATCAGGTCCTTTTCAAAGGGGGTAAGGGCACAGTCTTCAGAGGAGAAAAGGCGGAGTAAAAGAATAACGGCTAGCTGTGGGGTAGGTATGGAGTAAGGATTGGGATATGGTGTGGTTGACGTAGGGGAAGATACTAGCTGTGTATCTTGGGTTCCCCGAGAAGGTGAAGGTAATGGAAGTTGGTTGATGGATTGGTTAGATTGGGTTGGGGAAGATATCGGTTGGGTATGAGAGAGTAAAGGTTGGGGTGCGGGTTGGGGTGCGTGGTGTTTAGGCTGAACCGCTTGGGTGGTCCTAAATTCCTGTGCAAAAGCGGTCATTGCTCCTTGCACCCATGGTTTTATGGTGGAATCCAGGAAGCGATTCAGGATAACATTGATATCTTCAAAGGTGGGATGGCCAGTTACGGGGGTTGTAACTGTTGTCACAACATCAATGAAGACAACTGATGTGTCGCCTGCTTTCAATGATGGAGTCATTGTGGGCATAACAAGACTTCCGACCGTCATAGCTTGCACTCTGGTTGTTGCATTCAGGGTGTGTGCACCTATATGTGCAGTGAATAGTGTAGGTGTCCTAGAAAAGGAAGAAAATGTGGGAAATGTGACACCTAGACTCGATGTGTGGGAAGGAGGGGTTGTGACCTCGGACGGCTGGCCAACATTTCGCTCAACTGATTCGGAAGGAACCAGAGAGGTGGGTGAGTCTCGTGATTTTGAAACGATAGCCTGTTGGGAGGCTAACGAGTGGCTAGGTGAGGGCTGTGCATGCGCAGTTGAGCCAGATGCTGCGACTTCTACCCGGGAACCGAAAAGATCGGCTCCTGTTCTTAGGGATTCAGCTCAGCTTATGCTGATAAAGGGGTCACAGCCATCAAAGATATCCTCATCAGCTTTATCTAGTAGGCTCTTCCTGGTGCGTGGCTGTGCCTTGGGCTTTGAGAATTTGTCATGTTTCACTTTTGCCCGTTTCTCGCGGATCACATCATCGTCTGAATTTTTAACTACATGCGCAGCCTCAACATAATCAGACTTGTTCTTGTTGATTTCATCAAGAACCACTTGTTCATGCTGGACAGAGATCCGAGGCTCGCTTTCATGCTGTGGTGTTGTCCGAGTATCCCTGATCGTGAAGGTTTTAGGGCGGACAACTATAAATGGTGCTGCATCTGCTGCAGTGATCTTTCGGGGATGTGAGGCGACCATTTTTCCTTTTCGAATTATGGCGTAAGTTTCCTCCACTCCATCATTGTCGTCATCATCATCATTTTCATCGTCAGATCCGTCATTAGTACTGTGGGTGGCCACGCTATCGGATGCCTCATCGTCGGTTTTATTGGGGGCAGCACTGGACGATTCATCAGCAGATTCCTCAGCGTCCGTCGAGGTGCCCTCAGCCGTCCGACTCATCTCGAGAGAGTCATCAGACTTTCCTTCATAGGGCCGACGTGGAACTGGTTTCTGTGGCTTTGGGGCTCTCTTTGGACCCTCACGTTCACTCGGCTTAGTCCCTGGGTAGGTCCAACTGGGTTTTGCTGAACCATAGGGACTGTACTCAGATCTTCTTTGTACTTGATGACAACAGGATTTGACTGATTGGCAAGATTGAGCAGTGAGTCTAGGATCCGCAGTCCAGTGACATGGTTTTTGTCAGTCTTGAAGTACAGAAGCTTGGGCGCGGAGAAGTGTGGATCATCACCTCGTCGAGGAATGGAGTGGTGC